CCAAAATGTAGATTCGAATAGAGAAGAACGAGCAAGAAACTCCATTTATTACTCTTTTTAAAAAAGTATGTTCTACAATGTCTCTGATACATATTCCAATACTGTACGTATATGTGAGAACAATGCATAGACACGCTTGACGCATTATAGGTATTAACTCGTTGAGTACCGTCATTACAGACACAATTATAGAACAATAGGTTGCGGTCACCGGTGACCGCTTAGTGTTTGACAGTTTAAATACAAACCTTACTAAAATTTTAAAAAAAATCTTAAGTCTAACATGGTGCTCACATATGCATACTGACAATCCAAAAGAATAGTGCTTCTATACAAGAAAAGGAAACTCTTTGTTTCAATAAAGAAAGAAATGCTCGATGCCATAAAAAAACATTATCAGCCGAAGCAACGAAATTGCGTAACCTATCCCTGTAAATTTCGATCTCATCCAAAGAGGCAGACGAGCAGATGTATCACCTAAAATAAATGCAAACGAATTGAGAACCTCGTCCGTGTTTTGAAGTCGGTTACAATTATAAAGAAACAATAACTCCGCCCCTACCAAACTCTTCAATTGTTACACAGACTATAAAACAACCCGTATTACACCATTAAACTGTAAAATATTACTGAACCACAACAATAAACTGTTATATTAAAACGTAATAGGTCTACATAATGTTTTAGGAGCACTTTAACTCGTCGAGTACCGGTTTTGTAGACACAATTATAGAACAATAGGTTGCGGTCACCGGTGACCGCTTGGTGTTTGACAGTTTAAATGTTGAACCATTATTTTTGACGCCTCTCATTTAGTCTGCTAACAAAAAATTTCCAAATCAAAATTTGCGACTATGAAGTTTCAGCAAGGAGTCTCAAGTACAACTCCAGTGTTCGAGACAATTTTACCTACCTATTTCAGATAGGAAAGAGAGTTTTACGAAATACGAACATCACATATTCCACCCAGAACCGAAAACCTGACCTTAGTTTGGTCATACACCGATAATCCTTTTATCCATATCGAACCAATATGCATTGGTTTATTTTCAAACGTCGAACGCATGGAACCGCTAACGAGGTCTGTTTAAAATTCGCATTCACTAAAATACTGGCATAAGCCAAAACGCGTCATGTTAGCACTGGCCGTAAATAAAATACGCCACAAGAATAATAAAGGAGAAAATAAAATCTAATTCTTAAGAACGATGCCAATAGACAGGTAAGTGCAAAGGTTCAGTTTTGCGTGATCTTGTCTTTAGAAAAGCTATTACGGAGAGAGTTGTGTTCTGTTCATGGCTATAGGCACTAATTTATAGAAAGATAGTTTTCAGATATCATTTCGAGGATTAGCTCGTCGAGCACGGGTTTTGTAGACACAATTATAGAACAATAGGTTGCGATCACCGGTGACCGCTTGGTGTTTGACAGTTTAAACTGTCTTGTTCTTTAATTGTGTCTATTTTGACGGTGCTCGACGAGTTAAATAATATTAACACTAAATTGTAATCAAATGTGTCCTGTGATAGTCCTAATGTTGTATGGTGATAAACCATATCATACTTATAACTAAACAAAAAAGAAGTAACTTCTATAAACAAAAAAAGAAGATCATAAATCAACGTATGATTTCATGAGTTAAATTAAATCAATTTCGAACCATCTCTTTTTGTCCTTCTGAAAATGTATCTGTGTATTGACTTTACGATCTTGTGCCGTTTGTGTTTTACATACATTTTATTGATGTTTGTTCCAAAGCTTTGATATTTGTGAAGGTATTTCTATGGTCGGTAGTTTTCTTTCGTCCCTTTCTTTATGTCGTTTAAGTTTTTTGACGCCAACGACTGTCATAGTACCTAAAAACTAGATTCCTTGGTTTACAAGATGCGTGGTACAAGTTTTCTTCTGTCAGTTTTTGTTGGCTTTTGTCAAGGTTTAAGTTTCACATAAAGTGCTTGGCTGTTGTGGACGAGTACTAAGAGTCGGTTCATGTAAGAGATTCTTTGCTCTTTTCCTTTCCAACAATGTTTCCTAGATAAGTATGGGTATATGACGTACTTTCTGGGTTCTTTTAAAAGTCCACTAGTATAAGGCAAGAAAGTTGGAGTTAGAATTAGGTCTCCTGGATATTTACTAGCTTTTAACTTACGTTACTAGTCTCCTGACAACTAATGTCAAGTAACTTCATCATCATTATCATCCGATCAATGACTTCCCGATCTTTCGGTTGAAGATGACTTGCATCGAACGAATTGATTTCTAAAACCTTTACCATTGATGACCGGTAGGTAGGTGCCGGTAACTTGATCCCGTATCATTCTCACAGTAGGAATACAGTCTCGTTTCCTTTATTGCCTTTAGTGAAGGAGTTCTTGGACGCCATATTTAACCATTACGTTTTAGTGACCAGAGCCTAAATATGTAAACAGATACGATTTGGTAACGACTGAATTTGAATTCTTTCTTCAATTTATGTTTCTTTATAACAATAGGTAGGTTATGATTACACGTAGAAATTTACAAAAGGCTAAAATAAAAATAATTCATTGTCTACTGTTTCTGGTGGGCGAAGTGGGTAAAGTATGTAGATATTTTTTTTTATTATAGGAGAATATCAGACCACCGCGGATTGGGCACAGTAGGGCTGATGCCGATTCGGAGCCGCGGAGCCATGTAATAGGGGGTGAGCCTATTGCCATTATTATTATAGCTTTCGAGTTTATGAAAGACAAAATGTTTTATTCTTTAGATTTATCAACCATTATTAATAGTCGTCTGATAGCACGGGGTCTGGAATTGTGCCCTGTATATGGCAATAGGCTCACCCGCTATTACCTACATGGGACTCATAACATAAAAATAGTGAAAAGTGGGTGTTACATTGTACAGTGGCATAAAATGCCGTAATGTGCACCTCTGCCTACCCCTTCGGTGATAAAAGGCGTGATGTTATTTATGTGTTGTTATGTTATGTTATAAATAGGTGTAATTAACGATAACATGCAACATTTTCACCAGCATCTAATCGCCATATTGACATGGTAAAAAAAGAGTAAATTATAACCCAAACTCCCAAACATAATAATAATATGAGGATGTAGTTTATTTAAAAATATGTATTATAGTAGCCAGCAGACCAAACTACTGCATTCTGTCAAATTTATTCATAGGATCTTCGACTAAACAGTCAATACAATAAAGTTGAAGATATAATAGAGACTGCCTCGGTGGCCGAGTGGTCGCAAGTGCGACTGCCGGGCAAGGGGTCTCGGGTTGGACTCCTGGGTCGGGCAAAGTATCACTATGTTTTTAAAAAAAATCTGTAGTAGTGCGGAGTCTGGAATTGTGCCCGATATATGGCAATAGGCTCACCCCCTATTACATGGGACACAACATAAATAGTGAAAAGTGGGTGTTACATTATACAGTGGCATAATGTGCACCTCTGCCTACCCCTTCGGGGATAAAAGGCGTGATATTATGTATGTATGTAATAGAGAAATTTTATTTGACTGAAATGGATAGGTTGAGCTGTTGGCCACTGCACCTAAGTAATAAAGTATGATATGAACCACTTATGAACCTGTGAACGATACTTAGGAAATATTTCCCACAGATATACATAAATTTTGCATCAACGAACTCCAATAAGGATGTAGTGCATACAGTTTTCATATCCATTTGCATATATGTCTTCCTTATAAACTTACTAGCTTTTACCCGCGGCTTCGCTCGCGTCACAAAAAGATAAAAAGTAGCCTATGTGACATATACCAATACACACAGCGCCACCTTACCAATAATTTTGTTTTCCCTCGAGAATATCAATAAAAAGTACCCTATTATTCAATCCGGACTTCTAACTTTACGTCTGCAAAAATTCAAAGCAATCGGTTTAGTAGTTATGACGTGACAGGGGAACAAACAAACAAACTCACTTTCCGATTTATAATACTATAGTTAGGATGTTGATTATATCGTAAGGCTTTTACTGGTACTTGTTAGTAAAGTTGTATGGAGCAAGTCTAGATGTTTTGCATTTTTAACACTGTAAGATAAGATAAATAAATATTTATTTGTATAAATATCTTTCAATAGTAACAGATAGGTGTTTTTTTAAGGGGGAAAAATCATCGAATGACTCACCCGCCTGGGTGAGGCGGGAGGAAGTGTCAGACTCTGACTGGCTAAAAACCACCCCGTTCCTACTCCTGCCCTTCGAGCCGAAGCCCCAGCAACCCGTGAAGTCCTCCACGGCTCCGTATCAGCATCAGCCTTATTGGGCCCCATCCGTTGAACAGAAAAGATGATACAGATACTTTATAAAAACACACCTTTTTTAACTTTTTAAGGCCTGTGTGTTGAAATATATTTTTTTTATTCAACACTAAAGGCAAAAAATGATACCAAAAGCAACAAAACCACCCTATTTAAATAAACACAGCATCCAAGCAATGCGAATTCCTGGCCATACTTTTAATTTTAACAGCCAGCCATAACTCAGTCGCTGGACTACCAATGTTCCGATCAATCGACAAAGGCCACATCCCTACGTGCGCATTTCCCGCGCGTCGACGCCCCACCGCGCGTGCGCGTCGCGCCACGCCAACTGTCACTTTGACAGCGTATAAAGCAATAAACGCGAATGATAAACAGCTGGTTCGGAAAACAAACCGAGCGATTGAAATAAATATGTAATAATTTATTAAGTTATTGCCTTTCGCTGGTATTGTCCATTTTAAACCCGTTCCGTTTGAGGTGATAACGGATTGTGTCCGGTTTAGTCGAAGCCCTTTTGATTGTAACGGAAGCTTAAAGTTGTTTTTTTTTTAATATTGATAGCTTTGATTATATAATGTCATTGATAGGTAGTTATGAATTTTTTTTTGATTTGAATGTAAAGTAATTTTAGACTATTTAAAATATATCCAATGCAAGAGAATTTCAATACACGTTAATCTCAAAGCCAACTTCATTAATTACCAAAATAAAACAACATACAGTATCTACAAATTTATTTAAGTCTTATTTTTTAACCTAATCTACAGTGGGAACCATCTTTGTGCACCATCTAATCGTATGACCTCGCCATTGAGCATAGGATTCTCCACTATGCTGGTGACTAATTGTGCAAACTCCTCAGGCTTACCCAGTCGAGAAGGGAATGGCGTCATACGTTTTAGGAACTCGATCATCTTCTCTGGTAAGTAATCCAGGAGAGGTGTGTCGAAGAGACCTGGAAGAATGAAATTGAGAAATATAGAGAGCATGCTCCTTAAGTACAGCTCAATAAGTAATCAATATGAGTCATGAAGTTAGGACCTCTAAGTTTGACAATTTACAAAAGTGTTTCTGTCATTTGGAAGTTCACAATGTTCTTTAACGTACGTATACGTGTACAAAAGTTTTAAATCAACTTAGACAATGGCGTCAAATAGCAAAAGCAATTACAAAAAGAGAAACAGAAAATTAAAATCGAAGACTGAAAAGAATCTAATAATTAATTTATTCTAAGCACTTCACCAAATTAACAAGTATATGGATCACTTATTCAACCAAAGAAACTAAGAGACGAAATTTACCTGGAGCTATAGTAACGACTCTTATTCCTTGGGACGCCAGATCTCTAGCTATGGGCAACGTCATACCAACAATCGCTGCTGATGACGCAGCATACCCAGCTTGTCCAATGTCCCCTTCATACGCAATTGTGGATGCTGTGTTCACTATAACCCCTCTTTGCCCATTCTCATCTGGTTTATTCTTGCCTATTAAACCAGCTGCTAAACGTATTGTGTTAAATGTGCCAACTGTGTTAACCTGGAATAAAAATTTGCCGTTCTATAAAAATGGGAGCCAAGCTTACGATTATGTACGTAGTTAAAAGTTGAGGAGTAACAGAAGAGATTAATTGAGGCCTGATAATGATTGAATGACGATGCAGCAAAAAAATACGTGTAGTTGTCAGAAAAGGGGAAAAATTCCAATACCAAAACCAATTCCAATCCAATATAAATCGGGCCCAAGATCGACTCCCTAATGCCTTGTTCGCACGACGCTAGTATGATAATCGAGTTGCGAATATTTAGTCCTCTTTCACTTCCTTTTTGGGACAGAAGCTAAAAATACTAGCGTAGTGTGAACAAGGCAACACAGTCGCACTCGACCAACGGACCATGAAGGAAATACAATTACAACTTCATTTAATGCTTCCCAGGTATCAAGTAACAAATAAGTTTTAATATCCTATAACGGTGAAAAACAACAAGGATGCGCTACAGACTTTGATAACCGTTATAGCACTATACAACAGTTATTACAAACTGTTATTCGATAAGACTATGTAATTTTTCATTACTGAGACAGAATTCGTATGTTAACATTGTAGTCTCATTCATAAGTCTTATTATTAGACCGCTTTGCGCAAACACCTCTTGAGTATGAGTACGAGAAATATTTTATTAGGACAAGACTTAGTTGCGTAACCAGCAGCTGTAGCCAAATTCCATTTAGCGCTTGTCTACATGTAGAATAGAAAACCAAATTATATGGAATTGACGTAAATTTTGGCACTTGTCAGTGTCATCCCCATACATTTTGATTTCTACTCTCTCTGTAGACAAGCGCTAATGTTGACTGCACGGTTGGCGCGGTGGTTGGGCAACTGGCTGCCGCGCAACGTATCGTGGGTTCGATTCCTGTACGGAACAATACTTTGTGTGATACACAGATTGTTGTTCCGGGTCTGGCTGTCATGTGTATGTGAACTTGTATGTTTGTAAACGCACCCACGACACAGGAGAAAATCCAAGTGAGGGGCAAAGACTTATAAAAAAAAATTTGGAGTTTGGCTAAACGCACAGATATTAATAGTAGGAGATCCCGCCTTGAACGACCTTCACCGAGATGCTTATTTGATGTAACATATTTTATATTCAATTTAATATGTCAATAATTGTATTCCGTATGGGTTGCCTAATAAATTTCAGTCCAGAACATGACTAATTAATAATTAAAAAAAAATTTTTTTTTTTCAAATATTTCACCGGTTTGACTATTAAACAAATTCCATTTCAATCGAAAGTATGAAGCCCATAGAATATGGAAACGTTAGGTTGCCTATTGTATTCCAGTCATAACTCTCGGGTTGCCAGGTCTAAACAGGTAAATTGATAGTAGGATTTTGCAACGGTCTGATAATTTAATCAAATTTAAATCAAAATAAAGATTATTTAATTATGAACACGGTAAAATAGGGTTGCCTGCGAAAAATCAGTCCTGAATTAGTGTTGTCGAATTTTAAAAAGTGAAATATTGCCGCGAGTGAATAGGTACGACTGAGAGGTCCCAAGCAACCGTTCCGTGCGTTAGAAGAGGACAGAGCATAACAGCTGCTTATTAATGCTGCTGCTGCTATTTTTGTGTCATTAACAGAAGCTGCTGATATTTTCATTGAATATCGGCAACCCATACGGAATACAATTATTGACATATTAAATTGAATATAAAATATGTTTCATCAAATAAGCATCTCGGTGAAGGTCGTTTAAGGCGGGATCTTAGACTATAACTAGTTAACAGCGACTATAAAATAAACATTAGTGTTTTGTTCTGATGTCTTTCTACAGACACTACGACTGCGCCACTAGTCACCTATTAACTATTACGATAATTTACCAAATGTAGGTGTTTAGTTTTAATACCCAGTGCACACCTGTGCTGTGTGCAATTGTGCACCTCAGTTTCTCCCTTTGGGGAATAAAAGGCGTGCTATACATAACTACAATGTTATTTCTTTACCGTTACCTTACCATCAAGGACAAGATGTCTGATCAAGTCATAAATGCACTTCAAAGAATTTATACCAAACGAGATTCCCGACGCATGAGTCATAAGTTTCCGGCAAATTAATAAATTGCGTGGCAAGATTTTGATGGTGTCCAAAACGAGACTCCAATACTGAGTGACAAAAATTGGATTTTAAAAGTACTATTATAGAGGTACATTGTATTCCATTGCTGTGCGGTGTGTGTGCATCGTAGTCATAAATTTTTGGACTGCGGCGCATCAACGTGAACAAAAGTCATTTTGTACCTAATTTACATAACATCACGCCTTTTATCCCCGAAGGGGTACGCAGTGGTGTACGTTACGGCACTTAATGCCACTGTACAACATAACACCCACTTTTCACTATTTATGTTATGAGTCCCATACTCCCTGTTGCCATATACCGGGCACAATTCCAGACTCCGTACTACTACTGAGATTTTTCAAAACCTCGTAATACTTTGCCCGACCCGGGTATCGAACCCGAGACCCCTTGCCAAGCAGTCGCACTTGCAATCCACTACACAGGAGATATTCTAGTGCCAAGTGCGTACGCAAACACGGGTGCACTCTCTGCTTCCCCACTCAAAATCCGGTGGGACAGTAGTCCGACACCACCGGAGTAAAAGTAGTACTTGCTAGGTTATGCTTTCCATTTAATCTGTAAACAGATGACCCTTTCCAGACTCCTGTGCATCGAGGATGTAAGCCGTAGGGACGCATCGTAAAAAGGAGGACGCCATTAAGTCTGGCGTAATGTCTCTAATGGTTTGTTCGCAGCAAATAATAGTCACTCCATGTAAAATACATTAAAGATGTGATAAAACATTATAGTCACTTTTTCTTAATTAGATCTAGTTATTATTAATTATTGGGTGGTATTTAATACTTTAACTGTAAATTCCCTTTTTTCAATCAAAATGAATCAAAATTACCACCAAAAATACTGAATTGCACACTAAATTTGCTCATCAAATAAATCAATTATACTATACTTTTAGATCTTTAAACTTAACTGTTTTACTGAATGACTATCTTTTAACTAATAGTAAATCTAATAATTCTTCGAGTGCAACAAAATCTAAACCTAACCTAACCCAATAATCTTGAGGTCGGGAAAAAAAACAAAACCTGACCTAATATTCAACAATTTGTGTGCAAATCAGTATTTTTGTTTTACGGTTCATTTTTTGATATGCAGTAGGTTATTAGTGGAGAAATTTGGTTTGCTTAAATTTTTAAATAGAGGTGCAGTAAAAGAATCCCCTAATTATTTCGAATTGTACACACCCAAAACCACTGTATCTGACGAATAGGGCTTTCGTTAGCTCGTGGTATACAATACAGAATATGCAAAATGCATATTAAATTAATTATGCTTTATAGCTAACTCACGCAATTGCAACGACACGATGTAACTCGATTAGTTCAGGGGTTTTTCATGTGCTCAGGGTGACGTGACCATGTCCATGTCGTTTGTCGCGCAAAAGTAACTGCTGCGTATTGACGTCTCGCATACGACGATTGCACGGCTCTCAGCCAACTATAAGTGGCTTAGAACTAGACGACTTACCACGTCAAACAATTGCATGAGTATGAGTAGGTAAGTCGTAAACCTTTTTTACAGAATAAAGTTAAACATGCAGACTGATCACCGAATAGTATCATGGCGGCCCGTGTACACGCCAGGACAGTTACAAGTGCATTGCTGGTGCCGGCCTTTAGGAAGATGCTGGTCCTTTTTTGGGATAAGCCGGTAAACGAGCGGACGGATCACCTGATGGTAAGCAATCGACGTCACCTATGGACACCCAGAACACCAACAAGTGCGTTACCGGCCTTTCGGAATTGGGAATTTGAGGACTGTTGAGGATTCAGGGATTGAGGAGATTGGAGAGGGGGGAGGAGGTAATTGGGCCTCCGTAGCCTCTCTCACACGATGAAACAAACCAACGCCAGTTTTCTGAGCCCATGTAGCCCCGTATCCCTACAGTCGACGACGGGCGGATGCCCGTGCCGAAACATGATTCTCTCACATCAATGATAACTTATTGCTAATAAAATGTCCCACAAGAATTATAATACTGCACTGTATTTACTGTACAATTTGACTGCACGGTTGGTGCGGTGGCTGGGCAACCGGCTGCCGTCTAACGTGTCGCGGGTTCGATTCCCGCACAGAACGACATTTTGTGTGATCCACAAATTGTTTCGGGTCTGGGTGTCATTGTGTATGTGAACTTGTATGTTTGTAAACACACCCACGACACGACACAGGAGAAAATCGTAAAGTGGGGTGCCAACATAAAAAAAATACAATACTCACATTGATACATCTGACAAAGTCGTCCATCTCACAAGGTTTCTCTTTGTAGAAGTTATACACTTGGTGTGTGGCAGACTGCCCAGCACAGTTGACGAGGTTGTCGAGCCGTCCAAACTTATCTTTTGCAATACCTAAAGCGTTCTTTACATCCGCTTCTGATGTTACCTGGAACAATAGAATTATGTTATTTTAGTATCGAAGGCGTTATTTCATACGATCTCCGAGTCGGAATAATGTAGCTGCGTTTTTCATTGAATTTTTGACTTTATTTCAAAAGAATAAAGTTCAAAATCAAATAAAGAAATTTGACTTTAAGTTCTTTATGTACACTCTACTTATACTACCTTTAACAAAAAAGGTGATGACATTAAAATAAAAAAAAAATACCTTCATCTAATCAAAATCTAAATTCATAACTTTTTAATTCACAAACAATCATCTATTCAATTTTCAAAACTGGTCTTTGAAGCCATAAATGTCAGCCATAGGAAATATAAGTTTAAGAGAAAACATGTACCATAGACCAGAGTCTATGATTAGAGATACAGGAGCAAGTCTTTAATTGGATAATTATGTCTATGGCCATTACACCGTGGTGTTCTAATAATAGTAGGTTTTAAAGCTATAAATAACTTGGAACATCCCTGCTTTAATGGTGGCACATTTGGCTTTGCTTATTTGTAAGAAGCATAATTTTACATCACACCTGTAACTGGCAAAAGGGAATAAGCAGAGGTGTGCAGTATGATGACATTTATTTTATTTTTAGTGTTTAAACTGTCAAACACCAAGCGGTCACCGGTGACCGCAACCTATTGTTCTATAATTGTGTCTATAATGACTGTACTTGATGAGTTAAAAGTAAAATTGCGAATTTTATTCATTGATGGTTACTCCTCTGATACAGAGGTAAACTTACTAAATGAGACACTCATATTTTACTAATATCATTTTTTTTAATCTTTATTTAGTAAGGAGTTTTATCCACATGGATATGTCAACCTCATTGTACCTTATACTCTATTTTCACAAAAGTTACTACGTTACCTAATATAGTCGACCCCAGTACAGTACTTATACTTAACCCGTTGAAATCCACCCCCTAAATCTGGTCATACAAAAGTAGTCTCTAAACATTACAAATAAGGTCTATAATGTAATGTAATATTAGTGGAAAGCGGTCACCGGTGACCGCTTGGTGATTTATGGGTTAACTTTTTTTTCTTCTTCTTTTTGGCAATGGAGTCTCCAATACAGAATTGTCAACTATACTGCCATTATACTTACCTTCTTAGATATCATTATGTAAATAGGTCAATTTAATCAATATAATTATAAATAAATTAAGTATGAATAAATAAATACAACTTAAAATACAAATAACTAAAAACTAATATTTACACCTTAAAAAAAGTTTGCTCTTCGCTACCTAATTATCTTATGCATTTACATAAGTAATAAAGAATAATTGGGTATCAAACTAGTCACCCCCAGCGAGCTACTTGCGACCACTCAATCATACAACCTCATTTATGGTAAAACTTATACTGAGTAATGGGTGTGATAGTTGTTTCATACAAAAATAAGCAACTATTATAAAAATATAAATTAACTAATACGTTTATTAGTCAATCAATACACATAACATACATAACATAACATCACGCCTTTTATCCCCGAAGGGTAGGCAGAGGTGTACATTACGGCACTTAATGCCACTGTACAATGGAACACCGACTTTTCACTATTTATGTTATGGGTCCATGTAATAGGGGGTGAGCCTATTGCCATATACTGGGCACATTTCCGTGATACCACTGAGATTTATTTGAAAACCCAGTAATAATTTGCCCGATCCGGGAATCGAACCCAAGACCTCTTTTTCGGCAATCACATTTTGCGAACACTCGGCCAACGACCAGAGTTAATAAATTAATAGGAAACTTACACAGCCTTTAGCCACAACAACGTTTTCACCAAGTTCTTGAGCCACTTGCTGCGCTCTTGTGCCTTGTACATCGAGAATAACAACTTTGCCGCCATTTTTCACGAATCTTTCCACTGTAGCCTTCCCTAGACCTGAAGCTCCACCGGTTACCAGACTTACACCCTATGAAGAGGTTAAATTTGAGGTTATGTTTACAATAACAAAATCATGAATGAAACATGTTATTAAGAAGTAATTTAGAATAACCTTTAGCATTTTTGTACTTTGGTTATAGCTGTGACAAACGAACAGCAATAATTATATTGATTTTATTAAATAATTCCAGTAAGAATCCTTCATAGAACTTCAAGTCACAATTTCACTAACTTCATTTGAGTTTGACATTGACACAACGAGATGTCATTTCATGTCATAATTTCTTTCAGAAATCGTATATTCCAATTTACGCGTTCTTTTTTGAACTAATAAATATAAAGCTGATTATAAGAGAGTTAATAACTTAAGTCTCATTTATATAACATGCTTAATAACTATTATAATTTCTCAAATAATGTTTTCATCTCACTGGCTGAACAAAAAAATAACAAAACAAATTAATAACCGACTAAAATAAAAAGCCCAGTTTGCCATTTTCCAAAGTGTCGAACTGTCGATAGTACCTACCTTCTAAAATTAGCCGTATTATTGTAATGGCCGGCAGTGTTTGTTGTTTTTATTCGTCGGCAATATTTTAACATAATTTGCGCATAATTAAAGTCCTTAACTTTAAATTGCGTTCTCAAATCGTGAGCAGCCATGGCGAAGGTTGAACAACCTATTTTCATCCTGCCGAAGAAACGAAACGGAAAGAAACAGAACACAATAGCCAGCCATGTAGACCACATAATTACTGTGCAGGTAAATTTCGTAATTTATGATAATTCTGTAGTGCCTTAGTCTACAATTTGTATGAAGATGCATATTTGTGACGATACAAAGATTTCTAGCTAACATTTAATTGAATCCTTCAATGAAATTATAATTTCTTTGTGGGGCGGCGGCGCGGCGTACGTAATTCTTATCTGATTTATGTATGCTTATACGTACAGATCTAATAACTTCCTTGAAGTTTAGTTCTAACTGCATTAAAATTTAAAATATGATATCGTCGTAACATACCTACTTCTCTCATTAATTTGTTCTTAGAGAATTAATTACATTGGTAGTTAATTAATTATCTAATTAATCAACTCATTCCCAACCTTTTTAAGAAATTTGTGAACTCCTTTATCAATTATTTCTTATAGGAAACAAAGTAGGTCAAGTAGTAGTAGTCCACTATTTTTCTTTAGAATGCTCAAGGTAACATACATTTATCTAAATAAAAAATATTCATTTAAAATATTTCTATTTCCAGGGAGTTGCAGAAGATGCCCAAACTAAGTACAAGAATGGTTTATCGCCAGTCTCAGAACATGTCAACGGAATAATACACTCAACCATGGAAGGCCTCAAGTCCAACATGAAGATCAATCTCCCAATAATCAATGATGTCAATGATGAAGAGCTGAATGATTTCAATGGAGACTCTGAGTCTGAGAAACAAAACATTCAGAAAAATGGATATCAAGCTTTATCCACTCTTAACAGCAGCCGGGAGATAATAGATCTCTCCCCAATATATGAGAACTCTTCAGATGCCTGCTCCAGTCATGGCGATCTAAGGGATGCCAATGATAGTGACATCCAAAAGAGCTGCAAAGTACTCAACTCTGATCAGAATGAAAGCTCTTCTGCTACACCAAACAGTCTGTCTCAAACGCAGTCTGAAAACAGCTTTGAAATGGGCAATCTCACTGATAGCCTCAAGAACAGTGCTAAAAGGAAAAAACGAGTCAACATTGTCCCAGGAATAACAGAGGCTGATAACACTGATACTGAAATTACAGCCCTACGCATTGAGTCTGAGGGTTCTTTATCCCCAGACTGCTCTCTGACAGACAATTCTAAGGATGGGTATCTGACCATGACAGGAACTATTAAGAGAGGCAAAAAGAAAGGGCAGAATGTTGATGTTAAACTCAACATATCCAGGGAAGAACTTGAGATTATTGAAGCAGCAATTGTTGCTGAGGAGTTCAACAAGATGGACATATCAAAATGCTCTTTGTATAATGGTCCACACATATTTCTCTTCAGTCTACTTTGTATTCCATTTGTGGCATGCATTTCAGCCATGTACTCATTCTACATGGGCACAATGGCTTGGTACAATGTATTCTCCCATGTCACTGAGAATTTAAGCTGCATTAAGAAGGTATTGCTGGCCCCAATAGTAATTTTGTCATACCCATTCTTGATTGTAATTTTCACTGTGGGCCTGGGTCTGTACGCTGGTATAGTGCAGCTTACATTCAGTGCTGCCAATTGGTGGAAGGATGTTTGTGATTTTGAAAAAGGTTTCTATGGTTGGCTCTGCAATACCTTGGGTATGTCAGAGTGCAGTCCATATGAAGTTGTGGTCCTGATGAATGTCAAACCTTAAATAATCTTATACATTTAATCTTGCCAACAACACTGCCATTAATAGATGTCCATTATACATTTTTTCTTCAAACTTTTAATGTAATGCAATAACGAATGTGGAAGGGTATTTTAATACTGGATGGAGGAAGAGATCTCACAATAATATTCATGTTTTATGAGCCTAATACATAAGAAATAAGTTGTATGTACCCTTTCATCGAAATATTACTGTCTTAGGAAAATATAAGCATAAGGTGTTAGACATAAGATTTTCAATATCCATATTTGGAGGAGTTTTAGGAAAAAGATCGATTTTTGAAAAGTGATATTTATACATGGGATGGGAACAAGATGGTATACCTTTTAGATCTCTTTTAAAAATAATTATGAATGTGTGTATCTGTAGAATTTTGCTCAATTTCTTCCATTGTGTCATTCCATACTCCATGTTCTGTACTAAGCAATTATTTCTAGTCATTTTAACCTTTTTGGTTGCATACCTCCTTGTTGTTGTAAGGAATTGTAATCATAGATGTATTTAGGATAAGGTTTTTTACATATCTGCTAAGAATTATGGAAGTAGTTGAAAAAAAAATCATGAGCTCCCAAAGATCTCAAATGATGTAATACCATGAAAGACTTTGGTCCAAATCAATAACATAATTTGGTCTGTCTTTTAATAATATTTATGACTGAAATTGTAATAAATGTTGCCAAGCACAAATTCAATAATGTATAAGCTTTCAAGCACAATAGATAACTTGTAATAGCGGCTATAGAAAACTTTTTAAAATATTCTTATTGCTATAATCAGGATACTAGTAAAAATCAGTGTTTTGCATAACAAATATTTATTGATTTCTAATTTCTAGTTATTTTAGGACAATGCATCAGCATTTAGGTTTTATATTGTGACATTATTTTATGGAATTTTATTTTTACAATTTTTTTGTCATTTTTAATCATGCGTAAATAACAATGTATGTTATGAAGACTGATGTATTCTAGTCACTATTGTGGTATCCATTTTCTACGCAATAAATATTTTACAAAACTGAAGACTGTTTAACTAAAACAATATCTACAACATTAAAAATAACAGGTCTATTCCAAACAAATTAACTAAGTTTCATGATGTATCCTTCTGTTGGCTTGGTGCTTCCTTCTGTTCTTGTTTCGTCTGTTTAAATTCAGCATCTATCCTTTCTTTTGCTCTTACAATTTTTGATTGCAAATAAAAAGACCCACCTTTTGCTTTCTCATTGGCTTGAAATAGGTGCTCATAATTTTTAACAATTTTTTCCTTATCCAATTTGTCTATGTTTAGTATCTGCATTGCTTCTTCTAATGTGAGACCTGTGGAAGCATTTGCAGCCGCTCTCCTGGTGCCTTCAGCTCCACCACCAGCTCGTTTGGCAGCCTCTTGAGAGGCAGCTATTTCTTGTTTGAGTGCTCTCGCAAAAGCTCTTCCCACTACCTGGGCACCCAGAACTATAATTTGCGCAATATATTTAGCCATGTTTTCTCTCCTATTGATGAAATAACTATTGACATTACTAGCAAAATAAGTGTCAGGTCTTCCTGTCTCTAGTGGTCATTGGTCATGTCAATGTTAAAATAATTTAAGGTTATTTTGCGTTCTATGTAGCAATACTACACAATTTTCAGCATGAAACTTTTCAAGTATTTATTATCTTTAAAAGTAGTATCGTATAGGAAGTTTCTAAACAAGTAAATTTGTTTTGCGTTTATAGTTTTCTAGTAAAAAATGGTAATAGAAAGTAATAAAAGAAAATTATCTACCCAAGAAATTGAACGCAGCAGTTATTTTTCTTTTTTTATCAGACTGTCAGGCATAGCCATTCCTTTTCAAAGGCCACATATTTCAATAGCCATAAAGTTCAAAATCGGTTATAAAATGTTGACAGTTTCTCATTGACATAAACCAGTTCGCGCGTTTTTTTGACATTCGCAAAGTTAACCTGTTTGTTTTTTGTAACGACACAGTTTTCTCGTTAAATTGTGTAAAAAGCTTTATTTAGTGTTTAGTTTCCTCAAATTGATAGTTTATTAAGTGAAACAATAATGGTAAGTCCTTTTTAACATGTTAATTACAGCAATAACTGTGTAGTTCCTAGTAAAACTGTTTACCTTCTTTGTACGATTCGGCGTCGTTCTATGATGCTTCAGCGGTTTACTAAACTTTTGATTTTCTGTCCATAGTACTAGGAACGACCAATTAAATATGATTCTCACACGTTTTCCTGGTAAACATGAAGCAACAACTACTATCTTTATATTGAAATAGTACAACAAAAACTTGTGAAGCTTAACCTTACCTCTTGCTTTCAATAATTTTTGTAATACTTGACTAGCATTATCACAACACTACCATCAAGGAACACATCACTACCTACATATCGTCTAAACATAGAAGGATACTATAGATCAGCTGCATTTTCAATAGGTATTGTCTTAACTGCTATTTATACTGTTTTAGAGTTCTCCAGCCCCAGATACGCCGTCAGAGCGAGATGGAGCGCGGTCTAGGATGACGTCACCAGCGCGAGACTATGAAATGTTTGAAGATGAGAGTGCTATTCTCGGAGACAACCCTGAGGAGGAGGAAGATGATGGAGAGGAACTCTTCAATGATAATATGGAGGCGTAAGTTTTTGAGGAAAATCTACAATAATGAATCAACAATCATTTACATTTTTGATTTAGAAGAAGCAGCACAAGGCAGCTGCAGAAATGACATTTTACTAAAATTTAATTTTATTTATTTAATATGTATGCTTATTGTAATGGCTGTATAATGGCATTTTAATAGTATAAAAAATATTCTTATAGAATATCAAAAAGAACTTCAGCAATAATTACATTAGGTAATCATCTTATTCTAATTCCAGTGATTATCGTCCAATGCCAGCACTAGATCGATATGATGCGGAGGACTTGGATGAAGATGACTATGACCCCATGTCAATACAAGACCGAGTGGCTGCTGAGCAGGAGTTGAGACGAAGGGACAGAGAAGAGGGCCGCAATAGAAGAGATGATCGTGATCTGTTGTATGGTAAGAATTAAGAATTATATTTATTTTTATTGTATACATACAGAAAAAGTAGTACAGTGGGTGGTAGTCCGAGGCGGCGATTTCTCCCAGATAACCTTTGGATGGAATTTTAGATAATGAATCCGGCAATAGGTATTATAGTGGTAATGGATAATATATATATTCATAATCTTGTTTAAGTTTTGATAGACTGGCAAGTATAATTGGGACTTAAAATTCTCCAGACAGACTTTCAGACTAATTTATAAATAAATAAAATTTATTTCAAACATAATAGTCTAGAAATATACAGTTTGCTTAAAGCTATATAAGGTGCCTGAACTAGGACACCTGTGTTTCAGGCGAGGTTAGGTAAAAGTAATAAACATTGTTATATAATTGGAAACAGCAAACAGAATTGTATGCTACAGTTCTACTCATCACTGTTCTAATAGGATTACTAACATAAGCTGCGCAGTGCACATACCATGCTTTTGAATGTAACAAAAATCTATGAAACTGTCATTTTTTATGAATTTTGTTATACAGATGAATCAGATGAAGAAAGCACGGGTGCTCCGCGGGCGAAGCGCCGTCGTGCTGCAGAGAAAGCTGCCATGGGTACTGATGAACAAGTGGAGGAGGGAATTGAGAGTATTGAAAACTTGGAAGACACTAAAGGGTATACCACCAAGGAGTGGGTCTCTATGCTGGGACCCAGAACCGAGATTGCTAACAGGTATTAGACTATAGATAATATTTTAATGCATATGCCCAAAGTTGAATCGTGTTATGAGACATAGTTCAATGAAGAAGAACTTGTCATTATGTTATTCTTTCATAAAACTTACATTCAAATTTGTGTTATTTGTACCATAAAATTCATCCCATTCAGATATATTTGTGCGGATCCACTGTATACCATAAGAAATATTTGAAACTATCTCTCCTTGTGTACAGTGATTTCTAAAAAGATGAAAGAGATAGAAATATTATCACAATTCTTTTTAAAAAATAGCTATCGTAGACATACTAAATTAACTAAAAATCGCGGGCTACTCACGTAAGTTTCTAGCTAGCTTCACAGTAGGTTCTACTACATGTCTACTAGCCGAACCTACTTACTACTTAATAGGCTGCACGACATCGCCGTGACTGCGCACGCTGCTCATAAGGAAGAACCGCTCTGTGGTTTGAAACTAGTAGAGCTTTTCTCAGTACTTTCACGTGAATAACCCGCGATTTTTAGTTAACAAATAATTTTTCCGAATTAACCAATTAACCCGTAAAAAACTGAAAAAAAAAACTGCACAACACACATAGTTTATATTATGTATCATATACCAGTGTATGATATTTAAGTTAATTTGTTATAACAGGTTCAAGAACTTCCTCCGCACATACACCAACAGTAAGGCCCAGTTTGTGTACAAGGAGCGCATCCGTCGCATGTGTGAGCACAACCAGGCGTCCTTCCATGTCGAGTTTGATGTACTGGCTCGGAGAGAACAGGTCCTGGCGTACTTCTTGCCTGAAGCTCCTTTCCAGATGTTGCAGATTTTTGATGAGGTGAGTAAAGGGATTAATTGGGAAATAGATGCTGGTTAACTACTATAGTGTTTATAGAAAAACTACGAAAGATTTGAAGAAACGTAAAGTATGCATAATTTTTTACCATTTTATCTAATTCCTAAGGTTAAGATGTACCTAGTTAAAATGAAAGTGCTAATGAGTTTTTTCTATGAACAAGTCTGAAAATTGCCTTCTGTGTGTGTAGTCTTAGATTCGAGACTCGGCCGTAAAAACAATTATTGAGTTCGTCAGCAATAGCATGGATTCCGGATTTTTTTTCGCCCTATTGCTTATGAGACTAATACCATAACGCGAAAAGGAGGAGGAATAGTACTTAATATTCCTCTAACAACCTTTGAGGAATAAAACACACCCATTATCTATTACAGGTAGCAAAAGACATAGTCCTACAAATATTCCCAAGCTACGAGCGAGTCACCTCAGAGATTCACGTACGCATATCAGACCTCCCACTCATAGAAGAGCTAAGAACATTCCGGAAACTTCATTTAAACCAACTTGTGAGAACAGTGGGAGTAATCACAGCCACTACTGGAGTCCTACCTCAGCTGTCCGTAGTCAAATATGATTGTAATAGGTGTGGGTATATTCTGGGTCCATTTGTTCAGACTCAAAATTCTGAAGTCAGACCTGGATCTTGTCCGGAATGTCAGAGCGCTGGACCTTTTATGGTGAGTGTTTAATAATCTTATTTTTTTTAAACAGAATATGATGCTGACTGCTCTGTTAGTTGAGGAATTGCCACATCCAAAGCTCACTACAGTTAAACGACTGATAATAATAACCGATTTCGACATGAATTCTTGAATTTAAAAAAAATTGAATTTCTGTCAATAACTTGATAGTTCCAGATCTTATGGATTAAATAATTTGAAATAACGGCTTATATAAAGTATTTAAGTAACTTTTTTACTGATTTCTTATGAAGTCAATATATTGGGATTGTACAATGGGACTCTTTTGAAGCAGAAAGCGCTTTGAATTGTTCTTAATTAAATTAGTTTAATTTCGGCTGATAAAGAACAATAACAAAAATTAAATTTATTTCTAAACTCGTAAAAGACAATATTGTTATGTAGATACAGTTTAATGTTAAGTATGTATCTAATTAGTTAAAAGTCGCAGGTGAGAGTTCATGACAATAATAATAGCAAGCAGGACGAACATCCCCCGCGCGCACGGCGGGGGGTGTTGTTGCGAACCAATCACCATAAAAATTAGTTGACCGATCTCTCTCACTCGCTATACCACCTTCCACAATTCTGTTCTCCACAGGTAAATATGGAACAAACCGTATACCGTAACTACCAGAAGGTCACAATCCAAGAGTCTCCAGGCCGCATCCCCGCCGGTCGTATCCCAAGAAGCAAGGACTGTATACTGTTGGCTGATCTCTGTGATAGGTGCAAGCCGGGAGATGAAGTCGACCTCACTGGGATCTATACTAATAATTATGATGGATCGCTTAATACTGAACAGGTGAGATTTGTTTATTCTACTTGGTTAATGTAATTGTTGAATGTGTTCTTTGGCTTAAATCTGGAGATCTTTGTATACCTTTCTGCTTACCACTTTCGGGTCGGGGATTAAAGAACCTCACAGAAAACCAACGTGAAGCAACGCTTGCGTTGTGTTTCGTCGTGTGAGTGAGGTTACCGAAGGCCCAATTACCCTCCCCTTCCCCAATCTCCCCAATTCCTGAATCCCCAACGATCCTCAAACTCCTAATCCCCAAAAGGCTGGTAACGCACTTGGAACGCCTCTGGTGTTCCAGGTGTCCATGGGCGACGCCGATAACTTACCATCAGGTGATCCGTATGCTCGTTTACCGACTTACGCCATAAAAAAAATGTGATACTGTTACCTACTTGTAAATTAGTTGTTACAAACAATACTAAGACGAGTAGCGAGTGTGAATACAGATTTTTCGATTTACGGAATGTTCAGTAATCATACAGAGCCTGGAATAGTACTCATTAGCAAATACAATTGGCCCCTATAAGAACAAAATCAACATCTCGGTATCCTGGGCAAAAATACTCAGAAGTCAGTAAAACAGTAAAATACAAACTGACACATTCTTTCCAGGGTTTCCCAGTATTCGCAACAGTGATAATAGCGAACTACATAGTAGTAAAAGACTGCAAGCATATTGTGGAGTCCTTAACTGATGAAGACGTGGCCACTATTGTCAAGTTGTCCAAGGATCCACGCATTGGAGAGCGGATAGTACAAAGCATTGCTCCTTCTATATTCGGACACGATTATATTAAACGAGGACTTGCTTTAGCACTGTTTGGTGGGGAGCCGAAAAATCCAGGTATGTAATAATATTCATATTGTTACCTAGATGTGTATGTGATTTCGGTTTTATGAAACTGCCTTATTGGTCGTGTGATTCAATCAATTTGACTGAGGTTCGATATGCTAAAGTAACATTAATTCTTATTATTATGTAAAAATACGCAATATTTTAATTATTAATTTGTCGGATTTCAGGTGATAAGCATAAAGTGAGAGGTGACATCAATGTTCTTATATGCGGGGACCCCGGTACTGCTAAATCACAATTCTTAAAGTACACCGAAAAGGTAAGTTCTTTTACTTCCATGTTAAAGTAAAATTATCCTGAAGCTTAACGGAATAAGGTCGCTTATATCATTTGAACTTATGCCTTCAGATCGCGCCCAGAGCAATCTTCACAACAGGTCAGGGCGCCAGTGCAGTCGGTCTAACAGCTTATGTCAGGAAAAATCCCACTACCAGGTAAGTTCTTTTTACATTTCTATTCAGTCCTCTTACATTAAAGTTTAGAAAATTTATTAAAATTCTTATGAACACAAAAATAATATAAGTAGGCCGACACCATGCCTTTGACGACTTTCAAAAGTGCTTGTGTTACACATCACATTTTTAATTGTGTTTTTTTTTTCCTAACAGAGATTGGACCTTAGAAGCCGGTGCGTTAGTACTAGCAGATCGTGGAGTGTGCCTTATCGATGAGTTCGACAAAATGAACGACGCAGACCGCACCTCTATACACGAGGCTATGGAACAACAGTCTATTTCCATCTCCAAAGCCGGTATTGTAACGTCACTACACGCTAGGTAAGTTGAAAATGTGGAAAGAAGAGTTGCGCAACTTTTGCGCTTCCATGCGCAATTATGCAGTGACATTTTCTAGTTTGCGCAAGTGTCAACTTAGTAAAATTTATCATCATCAGCCCATTTCTACTAAAGAACATAAGATTGTACTAGGCCAATACAATTGGTTATTGATGTAACTGAATTTATAAAAAACGAAATATCAATTTTATTATGGCCCAACTGAGAATTTCAATTCAAAACCCTTTCGATGATACATCATTCAAGTTATTGAATTAAGACTTATTAGATACTTATTTTAATCTTATTGCTAGAAACTTTCTTGAATTCCTTCAATAGTAATAATATCCTTTTCGTCCACAGATGTTCAATAATAGCGGCCTCCAATCCTATAGGCGGTCGTTACGACGCGTCGCTAACGTTCTCTGAGAACGTGAACCTGTCTGAGCCAATCCTGTCACGTTTCGACGTGCTCTGTGTTGTAAGGGACGAGGCAGACCCTATGCAAGATGCTCATCTCGCGAAGTAAGTGTTATTAGTCCTGTAAACTTCAGAGCTAATGCCGTGATGATCCGGTGGTTTAAGACGCCCGCTGTTCATGCATGAGGGTGTGGGTTCGAAACCTACCAATGGCAAGTACCAATGTAACTTTTTCCGAGTTATATGTACTTTCTAAGATCTAGACACCCCTGACAAACGGTGAAGGAAAACATCGTGAGGAAACTTGGGCTTATAATTTCTAATTATAAGTTTGTAATCGCCAACCCGCATTGAGCAAGCGTGGTGATAAATGCTTTGAGCATTTCTCTCCCTTCTCCGCGTGAGAAGAGGCTTTGCTCAGCAGTGGGCATTTATAGGCTGTTGATGATGATGTTGACTTTAGGGCTAACAAGCAAAAGGATCACCTGATAGTTAACAATAGCACCGCTCCATGAACATCCGCAACTGCAGTGAAGTTACAAATGCGTTGCTAGGTCTCCGGTAACCTCACCCACAGAGTGAAAGAACCCTTAGTACTGTATTATTATAGTAATGACAAGTCACTATTATATCATATCTGGGTAAAACGATTGTCAGATTTGTTCTGTAACTATTCAGACAAAAATCTTATTGATTATTGCTATTGAAAGTGGAGTGTGATATTCCATTTGGATGGGTATGACAAAAATATGTTCTTTTTCATATATTTTTAGCTTTGTATAAGTTGTAAACAGCTTCTAACTCCATTGATAATTCTAGATTCGTCGTATCGTCTCACATCCGCCACCACCCGACCCAGCGCGGCGCCACGCTAGAGGACAGTAACGCGCCAGACCCTGACTTTGTATTGCAACAGGATCTACTTAAGAAATATATCGTCTATGCCAGGGAGAATGTTCATCCTAAGCTACAGGTAATATTCAAACTTATCATTGATATAACTTTGCATATACATATGCACTCCTGCCTATACATTTGGGGCTTAAAGAGCATTTTGTTATGTTTAAAGAAATCGTAATTTATGTATAACATCATCAATTAAAAATGCTGAATTTAACTATACATTTGGCAGCACATTCAGAAATGTAAAAATAATACCCTAACATAATTTATGTATAATTATTCTGTTTATTAGAACATGGACCAGGACAAAGTAGCGAAGATGTACAGTCAGCTCCGACAAGAATCTCTGGCTACAGGCAGCTTGCCAATCACAGTCCGTCATATTGAATCTGGTAAGTGATAATCTTTACAATACTTCCTACCCTTTCAGGATTTCATGCATGTGTTATGATGAAACTATCTATGTTTAATTACCACTGTAAAAATAAGAAAACATTCATTCACATTCATCTGTTGCATATTGTCAAAGTATTAGATGGGTAAGAAAAATAACACGAGACATCAAGCGATATTTTAAATCATCTGATACTTTTTTTGAAACAAAATATAAATCTAATATTTGTACTACATCTATTAGATAACATCAATACATCAATATATAGTATAAAACAAAGTCGCTTTCGCTGTATGTCCGTATGTATGCTTAGATCTTTAAAACTACGCAACGGATTTTGATGCGGTTTTTTTTAATAGATAGAGTGATTCTTAAGGAAGGTTTGTATGTATAATACATGCATATTGCACCCGTGCGAAGCCGGGGCGGGTCGCTAGTTGATTATAAAATAATGTCCTCTCCTCCTATTCTATATAATCTTACTCAAAACCTACAATGTCCCATAGTGATCCGTATGAGCGAGGCTCACGCCCGAATGCACCTGCGTCCGCAAGTATCGGAGGAGGACGTCAACATGGCCATCCGCACAATGCTGGAGAGCTTCGTCGAGACACAGAAATACAGCGTCATGAGGGCTATGAGACAGGTATACTACCTATTACTTTTGATCTTGGAACTTATATATACATATTTTTAAGTTTTTTTGTTATATTTTTTGTAAATGGTTACAATTACAACAGTTCCCCTCTAACAATAAGCTATACATACATGTTAACAAACCCTTTATTACTACTCCAAGTCACATCAGTTATGTTTTTATAATAACTATCGTGATACATACTAAATTAACTAAAAATCGTGGGTTACTCACGTGAAAGTACTGGAAAAAGCTCTACTAGTTTCGAACCACAGAGGGGTTCTTCCTCATAAGCAGCGTGCGTGGCCGCAGTGATGTCCCGCAGCCTACTCCGCGCTCCTATGTAGGCTGCGGTTTGAAACTAGTAGAGCTTTTCTCAGTATATTCACACATCAGTTATGTTAAAGTCTCTTGCAATAGTGTATATTTTTATTATTATATGTATAATTTTCGAAAACTTAAATAATCGTTATTCGACTTAATCCGTTAATCGAACCCGAAACCCTTGCTTGCATAGTCGGCACTCTCGATAAACAAAGCAGTCAGTTTTTTATTTTCTATTATAAGGTAATTTTTAACTACATCCCACACTTATCTAAACAAAACCTCTTTACTTACAGACATTCCAAAAATACCTATCATACAAGAAGGACCACAGCGAGCTCCTATACTACATACTACGCCAGCTAACAATGGACCAGCTAGCCTACATGAGAGGATTACATAATCATTCCCAGTCTACCATTGAAATCTCCGAGAGAGATCTTCTAGAACGAGCCAGGCAGATCAACATCAGTGATTTGAAACCCTTCTATGACAGTAGAATCTTCAAAATGAACAGTTTTACTTACGATGCGAAGAGAAAGGTCATTGTTCACGTCTTACCTGATACACCGACTAGTGCCTCTTCGTAGGTTTTTAAGGGGTGTAGTGCCTTTCGTATGCTGCAAAGTGCATTTTTTACCATTGTTTGATTCATTGAATGCGATTTGTCTAAAAGTTCCTAAAAATATTTCAGCGATATAATTAGATTTCGCTCTGTAATGGATGTCTCCATTCATCTTAGTGTGTTTTGGCGCGCCACAGAAAATGTTAGGTATGTGTATTACCTCTGTAAGCTACGATGACGGCATGCGAAAGGTTAAATCTAATTATAAAAAGAAACCAGTGTTCAGATGCTATAAATATATCTGAATAAACTTAATCCTCATGGAATCATTATACTGATTTGTGTGATAGATACTTTGTGGATTGGCGAATGTATGTGTCTTTAAGAATCTCAGACATTTTCCCGCTAAAATATCTATCGCTGGTTTACTTTCCTAGGTTCAAACTTAACAGTCAGCTGTATTATATTTATGTTTGTATTTTGAGGAAATCGCCAACCCGCATTAAGCAAGCGTGGTGATTAATGCTCAAATCTTTGCCGTGTGCGACGAGGCCTTTGGTCAGCAGTGGCTGTTGATGATGATGATTTTGAATTAATATCAGTTTAAGTTGGTTATATAGATATAGATAGGCTGTTGATGATGATGATTTTGAATTAATATCAGTTTAAGTTGGTTATATAGATATAGATAGGCTGTTGATGATGATGATTTTGAATTAATATCAGTTTAAGTTGGTTATTTCCGTTATAGTTATAGCATTAGGTATGCTATAACTTTCCAAAACTGATTTCACTCACGAAATGTAAAGATAAATAAAAAATCCTCCAATCCACAAAGTATCATAATCACAATATTCACCCACCCACCTTTAAAATATCACTACAATAAAAGCTTTAAACATAACAATCATTTTCTTTAGTTATTATTATAATTGTAATGTGTAATTAATTTTAAGTTTTTATCTCTTAACTTTTTCTATTATGTTTGTCTATTATTATTATTTTTGGTTACTCGAGTAAAATACTTATTATGTATAATGAGTTCGTCGTATCGACGAATCTCAGTTGTGACTTCCTTCAAACTGATAAAACTTTGTATTTGAATCCATTCATGTAGGTACTCTTTTAGTAGTATTAGGTACAAAAAACTATAGCTTTTCTTGCCGATTTTCAATCTAACAAAATTAAAAGCACCTATGTCAAGTACTAACCCAGTTTATCGAAATACATGGTACCACCCATAAGTATGAAGAGCTTCACATCAAGCTTCCTTGTGCGCACTGCTAAGGAGTGGAATTCTTTGCACGAGTCTGTGTTTCCTGGAGGGTATAACCTTGGTGTCTTCAAGGCACGAGTGAATAGGTTGCTTCTGGGACGACGTGCTCCATCGTAGACCGCATCATCGCTTTCCATGAGGCGGGATAGCGGTCAAACGTCGGCCCATCAAATATATAAAAAAGAATGGTATACTTGATACAAACAATCAAAAATAGTTTACTCATAATTTCAAATCAAAGAAAAAATAATCTCTTTAACAAAAAGTCCAAACCAACATTTACTAATTATTTACATTCTATCAAGTTACATGCGAGGGTATAGATCCAATGTACCGCCCAAAAATAATACACGATCGAACATCTTCGAAATAGAGAAACCCCAACCCTTGTGAACTAGGTCATCTAAACTCGTACAGTATTGTCGTCTTCTTCAGATTCTAGGCTACCTAAAATTATCTACTAAGTTAGAAATCGGTCAGATTAGGTACATCGGACCGCTTTCTTGCTTACTTGACTGCAACTTAGAAGAAATACCATTTTGATAATTTTTTTTTTTCAAGAGATAGGTACTTAGAAATTTGATTTTTTTGACGATGACATCATCTTTATTAATGTACACTAAATTATTTACTTTTCAATTATTGTGATTAAAATAAAATCACTAGTGTAAGATTTATATGCAATCCAAGCACCTATGTTGAAACTAATAGTTGTCTTTTTTACAAACACATGTACGGAATCGATGTGTCCCTAAAGAAAAGGGTGAAACCTATTGCAATTGTAATCATCACCTATAATTATGTATTTTTAAGACTAAAGTGCCTTTAGTTAGTACAAACTCGAAATTTGACCTATTTAAGTTGTTAATTGTAATGTTTTTTGATAAATCAAAGGTTTCAATTTGTGATTTTGAAATAAACAGATTATTGTAACCAATTTATCTTTTTACTTTATTTTCCAATTGATATAGGTCCTAGAAAATATTATCCCAAATTCTGTATCAAAATAGCACCTCCGCTGTGGACCTTGTGGATAGAAGCTTTGATTTTTGAGCAGTTAAACCATGTAAAATGTTACAAATTCAGATTACAATATTATATACCCGTCCTTTCTAAATAGTGAAAAAAACAAAGGGTAAAAATAAAAGGTATTTTCAATAAAAGACTTATTTATTCCCATTTAAATTATATTTCGTTTTATATCAAAATTCTTACATTCTTTCTATTTTAAATCATGAGACTATGTAATTGAAGAGACATTTTACTATACAGTCTTAGAAAATATTACGTCTATGACATGTATAATTATAATGTAATTGATAATTTAATTTCTATGCTATTTTTAAATTAACACAGCAGTTTCACAAAGCATAAACAATAAAAACACTAAATCTCCACTAACAGCACTGACTTCAACAAATTATAGTTTAAAACCATAGAGTATTTATAAACTTTGGCTTAAAGTGTTTTAATAATGTAGTTAGTGGAAATAAAGCCTTACATTAAATTTATCAAATTCCTACAAATCTCAATAATTCATACATTCTCACATAAAATGACTTTTAGCATCTTATAAGAATCAATTTAGACTACAAACATTCAACAAGTTCACAGCATAATAACTAGGAAGAATGGCGCCAAACCCACTTAGCTCCTTTACTAACATCAAGTATTTTTTTTTTCAATTTCTATTTTATTCAAAACTACGAAATCTATTTGTAATCCGCTGTCGATTATATTATTATAAAAGGCTGAATGAGATAAGTGCCACTACTACACAAATAAAAAAATACATCATAAACTTTGTCTGCAGGTTAAAATTATCATAAAGTGTCATTTATAATTAAGTCCTTATTTTTAATGTCCAGCATTACATGACGAGCCAACCTGGTGATGGTCCAACCTACGTACAATCCTTATCGATAAATATTCCATAAAATAAGACTGGTATTAGCAATGTACTTATCAAATTATAGGATTACAAAACCGCCCTCATACGAGACTGACAATGAATAAAAATAATGTCTAGTAATATAATCAAATAAATATGAATGTCACAAGAAAATGCAATATTTTGACTTCATTAATACTAACAAATTACATGTCATTCAGTAAAATATAGTTGTCACAGCGCAATTTCTGTGGGAACAATAAATTGCTAATACCAGGTGTTATCAATTTGTGAGTACCCGCTTAACCGTCAGATCCAGACTCGGAGCCGCTGCTGCTCTCGCTATCGCTCTCAGAGTCACTGCTGCTGCCGCTCTCAGAATCGTCGGAGCTATCTGACTCTGAACCAGAGGAGCTTCCTGACGAACTGTTGTCTGAGCAATCAGCACATTCATTTGTGCGTTTCTTTTTGTTGGGTATCTTGCAACTGCCGCCGCTGTAAAAATAAACACAATTGGAATTATGAAATCATTTATCCTAGGTACAACTACCCTACTACTAATGTAAAATGTTATGAAATTGGAAATTAGTTATTTATTGAACTCTGATTAACTCGTCGAGTACCGTCATTATAGACAGAATTATAGAACAATAGGTTGCGGTCACCGGTGACCGCTTGGTGTATGACAGTTTAATTTACTCGGAAATTGAACTTTGAAAAGAAAATTGCATAGTAACTTAAAAATTATACCACAAAAAAATACAAAATGAAAACGACCTTTGAGGGTAGGTAGTACACGAAACATTGTTCTGGAAAGAAATTAAATTTTGGAAGTGTAAAACTAATTTTAACATAACTACCTGCAGGACCCTTGTTCCTGTGACTTCAGATTCTTCTTTAGGACCTGTGTGCGCGATGGACGCACCAAAATCTTGCGCTTGCCTGTGCATTCATAGCTCCAATGGCCATATTCCAGACATTTCTGACAACGGATCCCTTGGGGAAACGCCGCCGCTAACGCAGCTTGCCTGTAAAAACAAACACTATTAATAACAAGCAAAAGGCAAATCGCAAGAAGATAAAACGGAGGGAAGAAATTACTTTTTCTTGTTGGCCTGATGCCTATTGTAAGTGCCTAAAGTCATGGCGATGTTCAAGTTAGCAGCTCAACAATCAAAAGGTAGGTAGAACAAAATCACTTCTCCACAAGCTGTTTGGTGACTATCACTCGCTAATACTTCCAAAACACGAATGAATTATTAGAAAATCATAATTCACAGAAAAAGGAAGTAAAAATGCATGGAAAATAAAAGATTTGTCAACTTGTCGTTGTCAAACAACGCAGATTATAAAAGAGTTATTTTCTGTCTATGGTTTGATTAAAAAAACCAAAAGGTGAGTAGTGAGCACTGAGCGCACAACATTACGATTTTTAAATTTTTTTCAGTCTCACATAAATTTTTGGTGCCAAATATTTACATTAATTATTGGTCTTAATTTTTTAGGAACACATATTTTTATGAAAAATAAAATGTATAGAAAAATTATTTTAACTGCGTTGAATACCTCTGAAACAGAACGTATTACCCCATTAACGGCCGGTTTACACGAGCTTCGTAGATAAGCTCTTAGTACTTGTTACTAATGCTAAGCGCTTACTATTTTAGTCGAGCAGGAAGTGTTTAGTATATCCCTCTCACTTCTGTCCCAAAATTGATCGATCGATTAATCCTACACTTAGCTACAAAACCCGTGTAAACCGGCCACAATGCAAACTAGGCAAGGGTTGAGGGCATCAGGCACAGAATACAATAATACACTGGAAACATCAGGTTACAGAGAGGAGTCGTTAGAGGCACGTGCCCTACTGTCCACAAAGAAGTAGCGGCGCCAAAAAAATTTGTGGCACCTATGGGACGTGAGCTTAGTACAATTTATTTACGCACGCCACCTAGCTAAAGTACGCGGGCCAAAGCTTCATTAAAATTAAACTTCCAAAGGCCCTGGCCAACCTACAACGTAGTAACGTTGAGTTTGACTAAAGGTAAACTTAAAGTTGTATTTCTCATTTTTGAAAGGTGATAACGTGACGGAACATTCATTGTGTGTGTATACTCATCTCAAACTGACTAATATTGATTGAACTGAACTGTTAAACTAGAACAAGTTTTTGAATGAGTCACTAACCAGAATCCTCAATAACAAAAAAAGAAACCGTAAACTAATAACAAAACGTAAGCTGTCAAAATTGATAGAAATTACGTGGAGAATGTGTGCAGTCTGTGGTTAAAAGTTTTCAGTCAGTTGCGTATCGCAAGTAATATTATTTTAAGATTTCATAATAAAAATAAATAGCCGGTTAACAGGTTTGAAATGTACAAAAATAATTCACGTATAAAACAATGTCGGACTGGTATTGGCGGGTAATTGCTTTGAAGGCAGCATTTGCGTTAACTTTTATTTTTTGTAATGTACGTGCCGAGGATACTGTGCAGAAGTTACCGTACTGCAATCCTACTGTTGAAAAGGACGATACAAATCTAAACGAGTGAGTGTATTATGCTATTTTTCATTTAGCGTTTACATGCACTACAATTAAAAAACCGAAATTGTTATAGTCAAACTTCGATGAATTTTATTGGCTGGAAAAGTTTGTTTACAAAACATTTGCAGACTTGCAAGTGTTTTTGATAATAAAAACAGGTTTTTGAAAGAGTCTTATACGTAACGTATGTAACAGTATACATGAAAATTACTTTTATTTGCATTTTTAGTACTTTTTAGCTACTTTTGCAATTTCACTTGAACATGTCAGAACATGCTTGGAGGTTTTTTAGAAAGACAAGGCATGGCATGACATTGGATCCTCATCTCTATTAAAAAAATCTTAAAGTTTACTATGGAAAGAATTGTAAACATTGTATATAATAAAATCAATGTAAATCCATTTACTTTTAACCTTGATATCTTATCTCATTTACTTGCCAAATAACATATCTATGTAATTCTGACATTTGTAATTATATTTACGTTTTTAAAAAACATGTTTCGTTTTATTTTCTGTATTTTGCATTGAGAGTAATTACAATTTTGTAATACATACTGACTACTATTAGAATGAATATGAAATAAGTTTATTTATTATCTCTATGCTATATCTACTCAACCATACTTATTGTAATTTTGTATGCAGACTTTGGAGGAGGACATAGGTTAATTTTAGACAAACAATATATACACACATAACCTTACACCTATTTCCCAGGGGTAGGCAGTGTCTATGGAACACCAATGCTATGATTCTTACGACCTACATACCTCTTTCGCTTTCATTTACAGAACTCTGTATAAAGGCTAGTTTCATAATGCATTTAAAAAGTAATATTATGTACTAGTACTACTACTATTGATAGTATTTAATCTTGATTATAATGTTTTATAGTAGGTATTAAAGTTGATTTTTCTTTGCAGCCTGGTGATTGTAAGCACACTTGATGGAAGATTGACAGCATTCTCCACTCAAAATGGCATTAAAGCGTGGGATCTTGAGACACAACCTTTGTTATCTTCCAATTTACATCATGTCGAGGTAATTTGATTCTAATTTGTATAATAATTAACTTCTTATTGGTATAGCTTGTTTATTGGTATGATAATTAGAAAGTATAGCATTTTACCTTTTACTTTTTACACTGTGCGATTTACACATAGTTACAATCAGACAATGCATAACCAAATGAAGTCATAGTTCTCATACATTAGAACAGAGGTTCAAACCTATCAACGGCAAGTGCCAATGTGACTTTTTACGAGTTATACTTTCTAAAAATATTTAGACACCACTGACAAATGATGAAGTACTATAAAACATTGCGAGGAAGCCTGGGCCTATAATTTTTAATTTTAAGTTTAAAATCGCCAACCTGCATTGAGCAAGAGCTTTTAAACCTTCTCCGAGTGACAGTAGGTCTTTGGTCAGCACGACTTATAGGTTGTATAACCAGTATAAACTGACCGTTGAATGTACAGAAATATCATACAAAACGAGACTATAATAAACTGGTGTTGTGTAGCGGTGTGTACAGGTTTGTTTATCCTAGCTAGGCAGAGATCGTAGGTTAAAATATCACGTAGGTCACCCTGTTAAAATATTTAATTTTATCTTTAATACGTGCATATGTTGTACCAAACATTTGTTCATTCAAAAGTAGTTTCTGAACATCGGAAATAAGGTCTATATTGGAGTTAGTGTACAGCAGTCACCAGTGACTGCTTGGGGATTGAACACTTAACATTAGTTGAGTTAAGAGTGTAATTGGAGTGTGTTGCCATGCACCAGGATTCATTCCTAAGTCCATTTTGTCACTAAGAATGTTTTAAAAATGAAATGTAGCACAATTTAACATTATAGTCTATATATCGTCCTTTAGCTAATAATGTTTGATCTGAAAATGCACAGCATATTCTTATTTGACTTAAATTAAATGTCTATTTCGAAATTGGATTATAACTTTATCCTTATATGAAAAAATTTCCTTGTTCGGTTTCATTCATACCTTTTGCACTAATAAATATTATTTCAAAGCATGAATCAGCAGGCGAATAAATTATACTGAACATAATAATGTAAGTTATAGTCTGATGAATGTTTAATAAACAAACTTGTTATTCACTGTAGGGGTTGATATAAAGGCAGTTGTAAGATTATAAAATATTTGTATGTAGCTAGATTTATCGTCATATTCAGTGTCATTTTGATTTACAGCAGCAAATTTCTTATTACAATTGACTTTACTAAAAAATATATTCTTGAATAGGTACAGAACTACCTATTTATTTCAAAATTTAATTCAATATAACCATTTAATTCAAAACCAGTCCTTATCACACATTTTTTTTTCATAACATAACTATTTTGGTCCGATGTCTCTCAGACATATGCTAGGTTGTAGCCTGACAAAAATTGATTCTAGCTAGTTATGGGTTAAACCACCAGGCAACTTACATACACACTTTCTTTTTATCAATATTGTGGTATAAATGAAACAATTATTGCTAGCTATGTGAGTAATATAGTATGATGAAAAATGTGAATAGAGCCCATCCTATTTCTAAATGAAATTAACAATGTAATGTGCACAAAATAGGTTGAACGTTATTTATTTATTTGGATATCCAGTTGTTGCTACGTATTTAACATTAACTTTAAATTAAGAATAAAAAATCTTACCACTAATGCACAACATTTGAAGGAAATCACAGCATGCGTTGAGTTGAGAACACTATATCAATTAAATTAAATACATTAACCAAATTTGCAATAAATAAGAATTATATAATTAGTAACAACTTTTGTTATCACTCATTATACAATTGTCAATAGTCATACAAAAATTCAAATACAAAACAAAAGATATATGAGTAAAACAGCATGATCTAAAAAGTGAATAGAGCCCATCCTACTTCAAAATGAAATTAACAATGTAACGTGCACAAAATAGGTTGAACGTAATTACTCTTACAGTGGACATTTGGCATAGTTTAATTAGCATTACAATTTACAAAGTTACCAACCAATACGGAAATAATCAAGGATTATGCTAAATAACTAATATGATATGTGCCATTGTTTTTGTTTGACCAAATTTACAATAGGGTAGTTGCCAGGGTATAAAAATTAAAAGTCTAATTAGTCCGTAAGCAACTAATGAAAAAATATTAGACACGTATTTTTATTTGCTCGTATAAAGTTACAATACTTAGATTAAATGTCGTTATGTTTAGGGGTCGTCGGACGTCAGAAGTGCTACAAAATGTAGCAACTTTGTGACGTCACACGATATTTCAAATTAATATATCGTCGAAAGTATTTAAATTTATGAGAAAAGAAATAATAGGTGTCTAATGTTTTAAATTAATCTACCAGACGGACATTAAAATCAAATATAGGAAACTACCCTATTCTGTTAGGTCAATTTGGTGAGTATAAAAACTTTAGCCCTCTTTGAGGAAAGACCAGGCGAGAGATCTATGCATGATAGTTTTAGCCGTGCATGCATAACCGACAGGCAATCCCTAGCGTAGCGTGTATGTGATTAAACTATACAGTTATCGGTGCATCGGTGCTCGGTTATGTTTGTTGGTATATTCATCCACGGCTAAAGCCGTCATGCAAAACCTATATGGCGTGTATGGCCTCCTTAAGGAACGACCAGGAGAGAGGTCTATGCATACAGTTCATAGACTTTTCAACAAATATTCAATACATCTAGTTGCGCGCGATCTCACTCGCTCTACTCGGCTTTTTAGTGTGATGTTTTGTAACCTACCGCCTTATGGACTATCTTGAGATTACCAAAGAAACAAACAGTTGAGTTTTATATAATAGTAAATAAGATAAGATTTTTGATTCCCAGCTCACTTCAGGAGGCAAGTGGGTCCGTCTGGTACCATCCCTCAGCGGGTCACTGTACAGCGTCAGTGGGGACAATATCGAGCCACTGCCCTTTGACGCTGAACAACTGCTGTCCTCATCTTTCAAGTACTCCGACGACTTGGTTATAGCTGGTGAGTTGCGAGTATTTCTTTTCACTAGAAATTTTGTTTTTATGCTGTGTAACTCTTAATACTTTTGAATGAAAATTTTCATGCCTATGATTTCGTTATCTGTTATCTGTAATTTGAGAACTAGATAAACAGTAATTACTATCGAAATAACATACATAACATCACGCCTTTTATCCCCGGACGGGTAGGCAGAGGTGCACATTATGCCACTGTTCAATGTAATACACATTTTTCACAATTTATGTTATGAGTCCCATGTAATATGGGCCTATTGCCATATACCGGACACAATTCCCGGACTCCGTGCTACTACTGAGAATTTTTTTAAAACCTAGTATTACTTTGCCCGACTCGGACATCGAACCCGAGACCCCTTGCCCGGCACTCTGCTCACCTACTCAAAATATCGTCTCGCAATTGCATAATTGCTGTTTGAAAAAAATCTATAGATCTATTCAAATTCAGGGCATTCCCCCAAAAAAGTCCGATGTTGTCCGTCTCGCTCGAGTTCATATACGTCTTACAACAATTACTATAATATTTATATTGTTGTATAATACTAACCTACTACATACATAATCTAATATGTACTGATTAACACGTGCCTTGAAGAAACAAATTAACAGGATCCAAAAATGTTTTGTTTGGACTCGTTTATCACTATTTATAATCCATATTACACACTATTATCAGCATTGAGTAATCGATCCGTAAACATTTGTGGAAGTCTGTAAAAAACTAAACTTTGTCTGTATAATGTGTCTATCTGAATCCTTACTAGTCCTTACTATCCTTACTTCCTTACTATATATAATATAATATTATAAATCAGAAAGTGAGTTTGTTTGTTTGTTCCACTTTCACGCCGTAACTACTAAACCGATTGCTTTGAATGTTTGCAGACGTAAAGTTAGATAGAAGGATTAAATAATAGGGTACTTTTTATCCCGGAAAAATCTGATATTCTCGAGGGAAAACGATATTATTGGTATAGATAGCACTGTGTGTATTGGTATATATATCACATAGGCTACTTTTTATCCTTTTGCGACGCGAGCGAAGCCGCGGGTTAAAGTTAGTGTTTAAATAAATACTGCACAACTGTAATAAAAATAGATACATTCGTCGAAGGAATAGTAATATAGGCTACATTTCCTTTAACCTTGTGTGGGAATTCACATGTGGGATGATAGTATCATAATATCATAATGGTAACAAAGTGCACAACCAGTTTCATTAACCCATAAATTAAAAAAAAACCCGCTAAACAAGTCTACTCCTATAATTTCCAACATTACTACCCTTGCCAAGATCGTATAGGCGTATATTAAAAAACAAGTTGTGAGAAAATCCCCTACAAAGCACTAAAGTAACCTTTACATTAAAGGGAGTTAAGCGATCAAAGAAGTATGACCACAATGACTTATAGTTTTAAGGTCCAGAATCAACAAATTTGGCGATAAAAATTCAATTAAGTGCGACCCTGATTGGCCTTGGAAGTCCGCATTGCCAGCAGAGGGCGTACTCATCGAATTAAGTGGGGATTTGTGACATAATCCTATTAGTAAATAGCCCGCATCATTTACTGTTACAAAGAACCGAGCAGGGATAGATTTATTGTTATGTAGTCAGTCATAGACGTTAACCGGTAAAGACAAGACAGCAGTACTCTCTGATATTTTTTTATATTTGATGGGCCAATGCTTGGCCACTATCTCGCCTGGTGGTAACCTGGTGTTAGGCCTAATTACCCTCCCCTTCCCCAATCTCCCCACTCCCTGAATCCCCAACGATCCTCAAACTCCTAATCCCCAAAAGGCCGGTAACGCACTTGTAACGCCTCTGGTGCTCCAGGTGTCTATGGGCGACGCCGATTGCTTATCATCAGGTGATCCGTCTACTCGTTTACCGGCTTATGCCAAAAAAAAAGCGATCATTCGGCCTACAATGGAGCACGTCTGCTCATAAGCAACCTATTCACTCAGGCCTTGAAGACACCCAGGTTATACCCTACAGGAAACACAGACTCTAGCAAAGAATTCCACTCCTTAGCAGTATGCACAAGGAAGCTTGATGTGAAACGCTTCGTGCGTGTGGGTGATAAATGATAATCCTGGACCTTCTAAACTGCCTGGCAAGCGTGGATAAAACGACAAAACCTCTTATGTAAATGAGGCCCACAGTTCAGCAGTGGACTAACGAGTATGGACACCTTTGATCATACAAGGGGGATTGCCATAATCTTTGCGCTCGGCAGGCGCTAGGCGGCAGAATGTGTAGTCAGGTGGCTCGCCGCCCAACCAGAACCTGACCCGAGCGAACGGCGCGTCGCGTTCTGCGTGAGCCTCAAAGAGCCATCAGACCACCACGGATGGGGCCCAATAGGGCTGATACCGATACGGAACCGCGGAGAACCTAACGGGTTACCGGGGCTCCGTCTCGAAGTGTAGGAGTAGGAACGGGCCGGTGTTTAGTCAGTAAGAGTCTGACAATCCCTCCCGCCTCACCCAGGCGGGAGAATCCATTCGATGATTTTCCCCCCTTAAAAAAAAGGTGATGATAAATATATACTCTACTCTGCCATTAGTGATTTATGCGAAGAAGAAAATATAGTTAACAGTGAAAGTTAAAATATTTTTCTAGCACTTTCTTTGACCTTAAATACTTGGTATGACGAAATAATACATTATGGTTTCGTCACTAAAAATATCACTACAGCCATCCAATACTGACTAATAGCTAAGTTATGAAGTGTTTACATAACTAAACCATTTATAAATAACTCCAGCGGTCATTGACCTTGAGATGACTAAGTAATCTTTGCCAATGTTACGTGTCTCCCGATCCTGAACTAACTCATTCGATAAATAACACTATGATAATTCCCACTGTGATGTAATAATATGCAGTGATCTCATTTCACCATTGCGAAATTCTTTATTTACTTAAATGGGTTATGTGAATTCGGCAAAGATTTAACAACCAGTTGTAACTAGTTTTAAACCAACTTCAACAAAAGAAGGTTCTCAGGTATGCATGTATGTATATTTGTGCTCCATTCCTTATAGACATTGTAGAACATTCTTTTTAGAGTAACGAATGGAGATTTTTGCTCGTTCTTCTCCATTCGAATCTACATTTTGGAATGAGCACCTAGCTTCACCTAGCTTCACTGACGGAGTGACTGACAGACTATTATTTATTTTGTATTTGTTGACGTTTCAAAAGTACAAAATTATGGTTTAATTGAAATAAATGCTTTGACTTTGACTTTGACATTATCTCGTGATTAGCTGAACAGATTTTAATAAAATTTTCAGAAAAGTATTTGTTACATATAGGAGAAGTTTTTAATATATTAATTAACCGGCTTCGAAATAATAAGAGAGGGTTAAAGTAGGTTTTTTTTAAACGTTGTTAATAAAAGAATTGTTCGGTAATGGGATGTAAGCGAGTCCTGGGCACCATTAAATATCTATTAATGATTCTATTGGTTTTTATGCTCTATTCCTGATTCTAAAATCAAACAACTAAAATAGAGTGATCGAGTGAAAAATATTGTTATTAGACAAAGGTGTGGATTGAAAGATGATGTAGTGACAAGGATTGAAAATGTTACGCTGGTTTGGACATGTAGAGTACCGAAAGAAGTATACAGAGCTGATATGAATGGAGCCGTCAGTAGAGGGCGCCCAAGACGGACATATAAGAGACCAGATTGGCGATATTAAAGAAGGGCAAAATTAAAAGTACCCTTAACCGAGGAGCATGCATGATAAGATTGATGACTGTTTGATGAAGCGAAAGAGTCTCTGCCGAGCCCCATGGGAGACAGGCGTAAAGTTATTTATGTATGTATGTAACAATACTTTGTCGTATTTGAAAATCGAACACAAAGTCTTTAGGAGCTCAGAAGTCGCACTTAAATTCACATCTCCATCTTCCAATCCAGGTACTCTTGCCAAAAGGAGAAATTCTGAACTAAGTCGAAAGAAATAAATTAATAAAAAAATCAAAACCAATAAAAACGTGCACTACGGCTATTGTTTTAATTAAATCTAAACAATAAACTGCAATGTTTGCCTTCACACATACACCTGCGTTGCTATACATACACACCCATATACAGAACAATTCAGAACATACATTATGTAAATAAACACTATATGCTACGGTTAGATAACGTTATAATGTACATATACACGTAACAGCTGATTATGTGTCGTGGTCGTGACTCGTGACATCTGACCAATCTCGTTCGTCCACGATACTTCAAAGGCCGCTCTAACTATGTTGTGTGGGCGAAGTCGCCGAAATGTATGCGTATAAATCTACAGTTAGATGTTTTTGTAGAGATTCGTTGGGGATGCGTATTTATAGAATGCGGATTGTGGTTTATTTCTGTGTGCCTAATAATTATTATTGTTATGAACATGGGCGCTCGGTTTTCCGTAATCGGAAGACATTCTGGCTTTTCTGATGAATGTATCGGTTTTTCTTAATTTTTTGTATGATATTTTGGCGACAGACTAGTGCTGAAAATCAGCGCCGCGACTCGAACAATCGCGCTCGGGACACGGCATTTTAGCTGAGGCCTTAGTACGAGTTTGTTTTACGTTTAAAGTATTCGTAACGAGTACGCGTTCGGCGCTGTGATTGGTTGCTTCATTGGTGCCGGCCAACCAGAGCGCCGAAAGCATACTCGTTTCGAATACTTTACGTAAATCAATCTCGTACTAAGGCCTCAGAGTACTGACCTTTTGCACCGTGTACATTGACTACCTCATTGGCCTAGTGATCGCAAGTGCGACTGTCGGGCAAAGGGTCTTTTTTTTTAAGGGGGGAAAATCATCGAATGACTGCTCCCGCCTGGGTGAGGCGGAAGGGAGTGTCAGACTCTTACTGACTAAAAACCACCCCGTTCCTTCTCCTGCACGTCGAGCCGGAGCCCCGGTTACCCGTTAGGTTCTCCGCGACGGGCAAAGGGTCTAGGATTCGATTCTCGGGTTGGGCAAAGTATTACTGGGTTTAAAAATAAAAAAAAAATCTCAGTGGTAGCACAGAGTCTGGAATTGTACCCGGTATATGGCAATAGGATCACCCCTATTACATGGGACTCATAACATAAATAGTGAAAAGTGGGTGTTACATTGTACAGTGACATAAAATGCCGCAATGTGCATCTCTGTTTACCCTTTCGGGGATAAAAGGCGAGATGTTATGTTATGTATATAGTTCTATTTTTTTTAAGTATTTTTCTTGTTTTTTTTTCTGTAACGGTGCGAATAAACTGTCTTTCTTCTTCTTCTTCTTTATTTCTTTCTTTAAATGTAACAAAAAATTAATAGCTGCAAGTCGGCCTTAAAGTTAAACATTTACAACTGACAAACGAACGACGGGGAATATCCCGTCTTTTTTAGTAAATTGGAGGGTATTCCCTGACTTTCTATTTCATCTATTTATATTGAATTTATTAGTTGTATCGATTTTGGATGCGATCCAGTCAATACTAGTTCACGATACTATCTAAATCAAAAAAGCATTAATAAGATTTCAGTAGTTCAGTTAGAAAGTCCCAGATGTTTTAAAGTATTCAACGTCTGGCATTGGGTTTAAGTTTACTAAACCAGACCGAACATTGGCTGCCCTCCAAGAATTCTGCTTGTACGATAACAGCAGTGGTGTGATAGTCTACCCATGTTTATTTTGAATCTGTCTAATAATCAGTTTTCTTGTTGTTTGTTTCCGAGAATGTAATTCGAATTTGATTTTTAGAGAATTTGAGCTGTACCTAAGACTTTTTTAGCACTACGGGCATTCTCCGGGTCGGGGTTCAAAACTTTAACCGTTTGAGTACCGTCATTATAGACACAATTAAAGAACAATAGGCTGCGGTCTCCGGTGTCCACTCGGTGTTTGGCGATTTAAATCAAGTGCAAAACTGGCATGATTAAGATCCTATATTAAAATTATCATCTTTTATCCCGAGTTTCTTTAGAATATATCATATAATATATCAACATAACATAACATAACATCACGCCTTTTTATCCCCGAAAGGGTAGGCAGAGGTGCACATTACGGCACTTAATGCCACTGTACAATGTAACACCATTCACTATTTATGTTACGAGTCCCATGTAATAGGGGGTGAGCCTATTGCCATATACCGGGCACGATTCCAGACTCTCATGCTCCTGCTGAGAATTTTAATATTTCAGTAATATTTTGCGCGAACCCAAGCACTAGCGACCACTCGGCCAATGAGGCAGTCCGAGATTAAAATTAATATAATTACATATTTCTATTTACACTTAGCCAAATGATTAACACTATAAATAAAATGTAACAATGTTAATACCTACCTAACCATAATACCTACTTATTCTCAAACAGTTGTGCAAAGTGTTGTTTTGTGTTTATAAATACCTACGTAGTTACTTAATACGTCACGCTTTGTTTAGTACCTATGTTTGATTCCAGATTAACTCGTCGAGTACCGGTTTTGTAGACACAATTATAGAACAATAGGTTGCGGTCACCGGTGACCGCTTGGTGTTTGACAGTTTAATACATAGTTAAACTGTCAAACACCTAGCGGTAGAAATGTACCGTGGCTAAACAAATTTCTTTCGCTTCGATGCATTATTTTATTTATTTAGTTAAGCATGGTTCTTAGTTCCGCTGCCATTTTAATACATCCTTAAATACTGTGATGCCAAAGTGTACCTATACTGCCCCATTGATTATTCTATACGCAGGTTAGACTTTTATTGGCATTATTTCATAATTTCTCAGTAATAAGTTGAATGGTCTAAAACAGTGGTTCTCAACGTTGTTTGGACTGCGACCTATCTAAATCAAGTTCCCGAACTTGGACCCACCTTTAGAATATTAAATCATAACAAATATGAGAAATAAAATAGAGAATAGTTAGTTAGTGCGTCATTCTACAAACATTTTTTTTTATTTTATTATTTTTAGCCATGATCGTCCCACTACAGGGCAAAGGCCTCCCTACCCTCCTTCTACTGTCGCGGAGAACCTAACATGTTACCGGGGCTCCGGCTCGATGTTCAGAAGAAGGAACCGGGTGGTTTTTAGTCAGTAAGAGTCTGACTCCCCCCCGCCTCACCCAGGCGGGAGCAGCCATTCGATGAATTTCCCCCATTAAAAAAAATCCTCCTTCCTCTTGTCTCTTCTTAAAGCTCTCTGTGGCCAATCTTTTTCATAGGCGTCAAACTCATCACGCCATCTTCTTCTGGGCCTATTGACTTTAAGTGGGCTCCACTCCGTAGTGAGTTTTGCCCACCGCCCGTCTGGCATGCTACAGACAGGATGCACTACAAATTAACTGACGACTTTGTGGTCCATAAGCTTGCGATCCACCAATTGGTCCCAACCTATAGTTTGGGAAACCCTGGTCTAGAACTATGCTAAGTATATGGCTATAGACCCGTCACTATTACATAGGACATGTAACATGATTAATGAAAAGTTGGTGTTACATTTTACATATTATACATCTTTGTCTTTTTCTCCTATTATAATATCTTCTGATTTACTTCTTTACGGGAACCAAGACAGTTATCCATGTCCCTGGGACGCGCCGGACTTGACAGTGTTCCGGTGTTTTCATGGTTGTATCTTCTGTAGATCCTAGGTTACAAGAGTTGGAGGTTGTGGCGGGCTTGTCTCATTAAAACAAATATGCATTTGTTCCTGTGGGTGTAAAGATGTACCTAATATTATTTATTATGTTGCATTTACAAATTACAATATTGATGTAAGAATAAGAAAATATAGATTAATTTAAATTATCTATAAATTGTTTACTGATTTTAGTATTTGTATCAATTTGATAATGGTTTCTTTTATCGCTACGTTATTTTGATTGTATGATGAATGAATGAGTAATTTGCTGCAGTTTATCAATTAATTTTCGAAATCTTTTTAGAGTTTTCGAGTATTTTCATGAATATACATAATTTTGATGTTCCTATAGAGAACTTCCTCTTTTTTGCTCATGACAGGTTCTGTATGGAACGGAATAAGGAGATAGGTACGACTGATGCGTGATCGTCCGATATTTTCCTCATTTTATGCAAAATGGGATCCCCCACTATGAAAATTTTAACCAACTGAACCTTTACCTTTTGTATTCACTCATTCGACTCGAATAGACTCTTAACTCGTCGAGTACCGGTTTTGTAGACACAATTATAGAACAATAGGTTGCGGTCACCGGTGACCGCTTGGTGTTTGACAGTTTAATGCCATTTATTTATGGGAGCCGATAATGCTAAAATCCACAGAAAAAAATTTCCTGCTAGCGCATGGCGGTCGACATCTATACAGCAAGTTACCTGGCCTTATTCAACAGATTTTCAACCTTAATCACCCTGCAATATACGTAAAAATCTACCAAAATCCTATGTGAGCCTAAACAAACCATTTCAAATAAGGATTTTTTCTCAGGTGCTCGCGAGACTCTCTGGTTTGGCCTTGATGCTCATACGGGAGGCATTATATACGAGTGTGGCTCTGGAGGATGTAGTACTGAACAGCAGACAGCGTACGCTGGTCGTGACGTCATCGTGCTGAGGAGACATTCCAACACAGTCAGGGCCTTGGACCCGAGGACTGGGAGTGAGAAGTAAGTATGATTTCATGGTTTTTATTACTTATGGTTTTTTTTCCCACCATTAAAGTCTCGGGTTCGATTCCCGGGTCGGGCAAAGTACTACAGGGTTTTTAAAAAAAATCTCAGTAGTAGCAGTCTGGAATTGTGCCCGGTATATGGCAATAGGCTCACCCCCTATTACATGGGACTCATAACATAAATAGTGAAAAGTGGGTGTTACATTTACAGAGGCATAATGTGCACCTCTGCCTACCCCTTCGGGGATAAAAGGCGAGATGTTATGTTAAACTATCTCTGAGGTAACTAAATGTGAGGGAAAACCTAAGTTAACTCCTTACCTTTGGGTATCACTTACCTATAGGTTGTTGAAAACCAAAATGGCTTAGGGGGTGAAAATGGGTATAAATATTTCATTCTTGTTAGTTTAATTTGTTATATACTATACGCCTACTGCCAACTATTTCAAGCAATTATTAAACCAAAGATCTATTTAACTCGTTGAGTACCGTCATTGTAGACACATTGTAGAACAATAGGTTGCGGTCACCGGTGATCGCTTGGTGTTTGGCAGTTAAAAAAAAAATAGAGCGGTTGATTGATGATGATTTCAGCCCTTAAAGTGATTAATTATATGACACTATTTGATGCGTGATACAGACGGACAAACAAAACATTGTTTTAATCACATTTTTGGGTTCGGTGTAACACCATTTATTTTTTAATATTTTCAATGTACAAGATTTGCACTTGTACAGTTTTATTATATGTATAGATATTGTGTTTTTCAGGTGGAACTTCAGTGTAGCCGAGCACCGCGTGGCACTGAGTCGCCGCGAGTGTGCCGGGCCCCCGCCGGGGTCGCTGCCCGTCACGGTGGCCGTCGCCCTGCCCGAGGGAGTCGTGGCCGTCAAAGACACCTCCGGGACCAGGATCTCTTGGCAACAGAAGGTGAGGAGGCACAGATATAAACAATATGCAATGTTAAACTTTTGGCTAGTTGTGTTGTGTTGCTTTGTCTTGCTTTTTTGTCCGCAATGAACTCAAAAACTATTACTACTTAATACTTTATTATTATATGAAAATCTCTTTTAGTTACTTGTTCAATCAAAAGTACTGAGAGATCACTAGAGTTTAAATCGAGGGGTAACGGACTATTTGGTTTAAGCGACATTTTGAGCGATATTGAGTTATTATTTACTAGCGACCCGCCCCGGCTTCGCACGGGTGCAATATGCATGTATTATACATACAAACCTTCCTTAAGAATCACTCTATCTATTAAAAAAACCGCAGCAAAATCCGTTGCGTAGTTTTAAAGATCTAAGCATACATACGGACATACAGCGAAAGCGACTTTGTTTTATACTATGTATTGATATATTCGATGGAGAAAAATTCGCTGATTCCGAATATATATATAACTCAATATCGCCCAAAATGTCGCTTAAACCAAATAGTCCGTTACCCCTCGAAATTATATCATTGATTTACGGCAGGGCTGTCCAAACTATATACCCTCGCGAGCTAATTAAATTTCTTCCAAAAACTGTAGGGCCAGAAAAATATTATCAGTTGTATAATGACGTTTAACATTGTATTCTTTACTCACAGACAAAACTTGCATACAAATCATACACTGAATTATATTATTGTCGTTGCACATAAGATGAAGATGTTGAGATTAAAATGTGTGTCGCGGGCCACATGTGGCCACATTTTAAGTGTGGGGCAGCCATGCTTCGGCACGAATGGGCCGGCTCGACCGGAGTGATACCACGGCCGAGCAGAAAACCGTGAGTGAGGTTACCGGAGGCCCAATTACCCTCCCTTCCCCAATCTCCCCAATTCCTGAATCCCCAACGATCCTCAAACTCCTCAAACCCCCCAAAAGGGCGGTAACGCACTTGTAACGCCTCTGGTGTTCCAGGACTCAATGGGCGACGCCGATTGTTTACCATCAAGTGTCGTCTCGTTTTCCGGCTTATGCCATAAAAAAAAACATGAAAACAAGTCGCGGGCCTTTGTTTTGACAGCCCTGATTTACGGTATTATGTATTAAACAAATAGTATTTTCTTCTAGTCTTGTATAGATAATAAATAATTTAGACATCACTAACATGAGACGAAGGAAAATATCACGAGGAACTTTGATTTTAGTCTCTGAAATAGTTTTTACTATGGAGTTAGTCAAACTATAAGTCTGACGCTCGAGTATTTAAACATCGTGCCATCATATACAAATAAATTGTAGCGACAGAACTATGCTTAAGTGCGATTTAATATTGAATGTGAAATTATCAATCTACCAGTGAACATACAGAGTGTTCTATTTATTTTAACGCCTAATTGGATAGTTTCCAGGGTATCAAAATTATAAATCTAATTAGTCCGCCAGTTAGATAATGAAAAAATATTAGACATGTATTTTTTATTTTCTCGTATTAAGTTGCAATACTTAGATTAAATGTCGCTAAGTTTAGGAGTGGGAGGTAGTTACGTCATAACGTGCTACAAAATGTGGTACGCTGTGACGTCACACGATATTTCAATTTAATATACCTATCGTTGAAAGTATTTAATTATGTGAGAAAAACAAATACGAGTCTAAAGTTTTAAATTAATGTACCAGACGGACATTAAAATAAAATTTAGGAAACTACCCTATTATTTTGTTCAGTTGGACGCCCCCGTAGCGGGTATGTGGCGCCTCCACGCGGGCACGCTGCAGAGCATCGACGTACTGTGGGAGGCCACGCACACCCTCATCGAGGGGGGGGTCACCCACCAACCCTCGCTGTACATTGGGGTGCATGACACACAGGTAACTTTGTACTTCTATTTGACAATGTTCTTTTTTATTTTACCTGGGGATGTTCTAAAGGGGTCTCGGGTTCTATTCCCGGGTCAGGCTCGGGCGAAGTACTACTGGGTTTTTAAAAAATTCTTAGTGGTAGCACGTAGTCTGGAATCGTGCCCGGTATAGGGCAATAGGCTAACCCTCTATTACATGGGACTAATAACATAAATAGTGAAAAATGGTTACATTGTACAGTGGCATAATGTACACCTCTGCCTATCCCTTCGAGGACAAAAGGCATGATGTTATGTTATTAAAAACACCAAGGACAATTTAAAAGTTAGTATAGCGGTCTTATCACTATAAAGCGACTTGAAACTTTTTCATCAAATTTAAAAACAATCTAATTTCAGCTCTACATACAAGAAAGCCAATACTATTCTCGCAAACTAGAAACAACAGTATCAGCTAAGCCGTTGCCATGGAAACTGGTGACGGCTCGACCGCAGATCGAAGCCGAGAAGTTGGGCAATGGACACACAGCTTTATCCATACAAGATGCGGACCCCAACGCATTGTCTCTGATCACCCTGTACGGGAACGCTGGGAAACATATTGGTAAGTTTCTTATTGAGTCACTTTGGGTTAATTTTATGGTATTTTTTTTAAGGGGGGAAAATCATCGAATGACTGCTCCCGCCTGGGTGAGGCGGGAGGGAGTGTCAGACTCTTACTGACTAAAAACCACCCCGTTCCTTCTCCTGCACGTCGAGTCGGAGCCCCGGTTACCCGTTAGGTTCTCCGCGACCGTTAGGTTCTCCGCGACAATTTTATGGTATGGGGCCGTTCAAATATTACGTAAGCATATTTTTTACAATTATTTATCCCCCCCTCCCCCTTGTCAGCAAAAGTAAGCAAAATTTTACCCCCTCCCCCTTTGCTTACGTAAACATTTTAAATTATATCTTTTTTATATTGTAATTTTAATATTCTCCAAATACCATAATGTCTCGTTCTTTGTCGGTCTTTGCTTGTAATTTATAATATCAATATGAGGGTTGCCATTCGTGTAAAAAAGTAAATAACTACCGATGACGTAATCATCATCTAGACTCCCCTACCCCCATATCATCCAAAATAAGCAAAACAGAGACCCCCCCATGGTGCTTACGTAATACTTGAACGGCCCCTATTTTAGGAATAGGCTCACCCTCTATTACATGGGATTCATAACGTAAATAGTGAAAAGTGGGTGTTACATTGTACAGTGGCATTAAGTGCCATAATGTGCCGTGATGTTATGTTATGTTATGTGAACAGTCGAAATAGTTTATTTTTGATGAAGGCAAGTACCCAGTTGTTATTTCTTTATCAGAACATTTCTAATCATGGTCATACTATTTTTTACTCTCCAGGAGACCACGGCTACTTCGTGTACCTCCAAGAAACGTGTGACCAGTCCGTCCAAGTGTCGGACGATATCTTCGACTCCCCCAACATTAGCGACGACATGTCGGAACATCATGACATACATGTTCATGTATCTTCACTCTGGTACTGGTGGAAGGAAGTGCTCCTTATTGCTGTGTCGTCAGCTCTATTGATGAATTTAATGATCTGGCCCAGAATGTTCGCGCCTAAGTTACCCCCGTCGCCATTGCCGACTAGTAATGAACAGGTTAGTTTTTTTTTTGTTGGTTGGTTGAGATAATTAGACGTTGTTCTAATAGAAATAAAGTGCTTTTTCAAATAATATTGTTGTGGAATAAAATTATTTCATGTTTTATTTAGTTTGTAAGTGAATTGTGCAATTGAAACTAAGTCAATGTTTATTTTGTGTTTAATATTAGTTTTCTTTAGAACTAAAAATTACAATGCCTCGTTGGCCTAGTGGCCGCAAGTGCGACTGCTGGCAAAGGGTCTCGGGTTCGAATCCCGGGTCGGTCAAAGTATTATTACTGGTTTTTTTTTAATTCTCAGTAGTAGCACGGAGTCTGGAAATTGTGCCCGGTATATGGCTATAGGCTCACCCCCTATTACATGGGACTCATAACATAAATAGTGACATGTGTATTTTTTTTAAATAATCATTGCCCCACTTTAGGATTTTCTTCTGTGTCGTGGGTGCGTTTACAAACATACAAGTTCACATACAAATGACACCCAGACCCGGAACAACAATCTGTGGATCACACAAAGAGTTGTTCCGTGCGGGAATCGAACCCTTTTTTACATTGTACAATGGCATTAAGTGCTGTAATCTACACCTCTGCTTAGCTCTCTAACTTTAACTCTTCATATCTAACTGTAACTGTGCCTTCCAGGTGGTAGTACAAGTATACAACTGGCCTTCAGAGAAGCCAGGTCCAAGTCGTCCAAGTATTGCAGAATATTCTGGTCGATATGAGAACGACTTCACTTCAGTTCGGTGTTTGGGTCGTGGCGGCTTCGGCGTCGTCTTTGAAGCGAAGAATAATATAGACGATTGCTCTTACGCTGTCAAGAGAATCACGTTGCCCAGGAGGTAAGGGGTGGTAAAATATGTTATTTATAAGGTCAGGATACAGGGGAGAGGTCACTCCCCTGATATGTCCCCATTTTTTTCTTCTATGGCATAAGCCGGTACACGAGCAGACTGATCACCTGATGGTAAGCAATCGGCGTCGCTCATGGACACCTGGAACACCAGAGGCGTTACAAGTGCGTTACCGGCCTTTTGGGGATTAGGAGTTTGAGGATCGTTGGGGATTCAGGGGTTGGGGAGATTGGGGAAGGGGAAGGATTGGGCCTCCGGTAACCTCACTCACACGATGAAAGACAACGCAAGCGTTGCTTCACGTCGGTTTTCTGCTCGGCCGTGGTATCACTCGGGTCGAGCCGGCCCATTCGTGCCGAAGCATGGCTTTCCGACACTTATAAATACCATATGACCCCATCTACTACTGTACGAAATGTACTAAATGAATAAGCCATTTTGATAGTATGCGAGTCGAATCACCTAATGGTATGCAATCAGCATCGCCTATGGTTACCGTCATAATAGAGAAGTTAAAAGGGCGTTGTGTTGTTTTGGGGATTTGGGGATTCTGAATAACGATAATACATTTAATAAAGCAATATTTTCTCCCTAGCTGCGATTCATTTTATGGTTTTGCTTTTTATCCAATCAGTGTGTGTTGCCGGTGATGACGTATGGTACCGAGACGTGGTCCCTGACCTCTGGCCTTCTGAAGAAGCTCAAAGTCGCTCAGCGTGCGATGGAGAGAGCTATGCTCGGGGTTTCTTTGCGCGACAAAATCCGAAATATGGAAATTCGCCAAAGAACAAGAGTTACCGACATAGTAGACTACGTGTGTTGAATAAATTGTGTCTTTATTTCTCAAAAACTACAGTTCATTTTTGACCCCTACATATATCTTTTCTAGGGAATCGAAACGTGAACGAGTGCTTCGTGAAGTGCGAGCTCTAGCGAAGTTAGAACACGAGCACATAGTTCGCTACTTCAACGCCTGGGTCGAGGAACCTCCGCCGCACTGGCAGAGACAGAAAGACGCCGAGTGGATGAAGTAAGTCGTATATTTTAGCTAAATAGCTTCTGTCAGCTACTTTGCCATAGGATTAAAGTAGTCCATGTTTTATTCCTGACCATTATAATATAACATAACAACACTCCGTTTATCTCCGAAGGGGTAGGCAGAGGTGCACACAGAAGTAACACCCAATTTTTACAATTTATGTTATGAGTCCCATGTAATAGGGGAAATTATTGCTGGGTGAAAATCCAGTTATTTTGAGTTTTAAGACTTTGACTGCCAATAAAAAACTGTTGAAGGTAAATCCTTCGCTAACGTCGGTTACCGGTGACCCCCATGGCGTTTAACGTGTTAAGTCAGTAGGCCAGTAATAATTTGCCCGACCCAGGAATCGAACCCGATACCCCTTGCCCAGCAGTCGCACTTGCCACCACTCGGCCAACGAGGCAGTCTATCTGTCCGTATTAATCCTAACAATTAAATACCCAATGTTTCAGAGAACTAGACGGTGTATCAGTAGCGATGACGGACGAGTACACTGCGACGTCGCCCGCCCCAGCCAAACTCACGCGCGGGGACGTCAGCCTCAATCTCAACAAATCTGCTGACTTCACTGAGCCTAGCAAGCGACTGAGGTATGTATCACTGTATCACTTAGATATACATTTAGGACTCCCAAACTTATATGTACCTTGAGGCATTGATTCGTGGCGGCTTGAAGGTTAAGACGCCCGCTTCTAGTGCGTGAGGGTGCGGGTTCGAAACCTACCAATGTCACGTTTCCGAGTTCTAAGTACTTCCTAAGATTATTCAGACAGACTATAAATGCCTACTGCTGAGCAAAGCGTCTTCTCACACGGAGAAGGTTTGAGCATTAATCACCACGCTTGCTCAATGCGTGTTGGAGATTACAAACTTATAATTAGAAATTATCAAGCCCAGGTTTCCTCATGATGTTTTCCTTCACCGTTTGTCAGTGGTGTCTAAATAATCTTAGAAAGTACATAGAACTTGGAATAAGTCACATTGGTACTTGCTGTTGGTAGGTGTCGAGCCCGCATCCTCATGCATGAGAAGAGGTCTTAAACCTCCGGGCCACCACGACAGTTACCGACCTGTTGCCATATACCGGGCACTATTGCAGCTTCCGGCTACTTCTGAGTATTTATTAAAAAAACCCAGTAGTACTATATCCAACCCAAGCATTAAACCCTTGCCCGGACAGTCGCACTTGCGACCACTCGGCCAACGAGGCAATCAAACACAAATATACATTTCACAATTACAATATAAAGTATGATTTCAAAAAAAGTATTGAACCTTCTTCATTTTGCAGGTCGTTAAGTTGCAACGATTCGTTCAGCATAGTTTTCGATGCGAACGCTCCCTCTCGGGCCGAGGTAACAAGTTCAGTTCACTCCGTGAAGCGCTCCCACGTCACGAGTGATGACGACTCGTTCATAGTCTTCGCTAACTCACAAGAGGGCGCGGAGGGCACGGAGGGCGGCGAGGGAACTGGAGAACTTAACTCTTCGTATGACCGGAGGCTTGAGAGGGTCAGGGAGTGTGATTATAAGACTGAGAGCTCTTCTACGGGGAAGAAGAAGGTTGGTGAAAAGTTTTTTTTTTAATATTTGTCAAAAAGTTACTTGCCTTTTTGACCCTTAAGCCCTTGAAACCCTTTTCACAGTATCTGATTTATCTTTGTGTTAATGTAATAGACGATTACTTAACGTACTTTCTATAGAGAATCTGGCTAAATAATCTTTTAAATCTTATACTATTGTATAAAGCGGAAGAGTTTGTTTTTTTGTTCGTTTGTTTGAACGCGCTAATCTCCGTAACTACAAGTCTGATTTAAATAATTCCTTTTGTGTTGGATAACGCATTTATCGAGGATGGCTATAGGCTATTAAACATCACGCTACGACCAATAGGAGCTGAGCAGAGCGTGTGAAACCGCGCGAAAGTAGCTAGTTTTTGTATATACCTACATCTATTTTTTGCTTTTTTTTATTTTACTCCTATTTTTGGTATCGTATTCTATTGTGTTTGTACCTGGTGTTGTACCGAATTAATTATTTTTCTATCTTTCATACAAACATTGCTCTCTGCCTCGTTGGCCGAGTGGTAGCAAGTGCGACTGCCGGGCAAGGGGTCTCGGGTTCGATTCCCGGGTCGGGCAAAGTATTACTGGGTTTGTAAAAATTCTCAGTAGTAGCACGGAGTCTGGAATTGTGCCCGGTATATGGCAATAGGCTCACCCCCTATTACATGGGACTCATAACATAAATAGTGAAAAGTGGGCGTTACATTGTACAGAGGCATAATGTGCACCTCTGCCTACCTCTTCGGGGATAAAAGGCGTGATGTTATGTTATGTGTCATACAAACATGTGTCAGGCGCACAGGAATTTAGTAAGCGAAACGGACCTGCGGTTTTCAAAGCATTTTTGTTGTGGTTTAATTTTACATGTCATTAAGCACTATTTACTTTAATGCTTCTGTATGATTATTTACATTTCATTGTTTAGCCTTATACAGAAAAATGATAATCTAAAAGCATAATCACACTTTATTTTAATTTATATTACTGATTTTTTTTAATATCAGTTGTAGCATGGAGTCTGTAATTGGGCTCGGTATATGGCAATAGGCTCACCCCCTATTACATGGGACTCATAACATAAATAGTGAAAAGTGGGTGTTACATTGTACATTGGCATTAAGAGCCGTAATGTACACTTCTGTCTACTCCTTCGGGGATAAAAAGGCGTGATGTTATGTTATGTTATACTTTATTGAAACCACAAGTTTTATTCTTCTATTTCCGTCCACAGAAGGGCCACACCCGGCATTGGTCCCTGGACATGGTAGTGCGCGGGCCGGGAACGGAACCCCCCTCGGAGGCGGCGGCGGGCGGCGCCCAGATGTACCTGTACATACAGATGCAGCTGTGTCGCCGGGACAGTCTGCACGACTGGCTGCGGGACAACCGGCGCTGCGAGGGACGGACTGACAAGGTAACGACCGGGGGTGTTTGTACGACTTGTGTGGGACAGCCATGCTTCGGCACGAATGGGTCGGCTCGACCGGAGTGATACCACGACCTCACAAAAGCCGACGTGAAGCAACGCTTGCTTTGTGTTTCGTCGTATGAGTAAGGTTACCGGAGGCCCAATTACCCTCTCCTTCCCCAATCTCCCCAATTTCTGAATCCGCAACGATCCTCAAACTCCTAATCCCCACGATCCTCAAACTCCTAATCCCCAAAAGGTCGGTAACGCACTTGTAACGCTTGGGTGTTCCAGGTGTCCATGGGCGACGCCGATTGCTTACCATCAGGTGATCCGTCTGCTCGTTTACCAGCTATAAACTTATGTTCTATCAACTTATATATGTCCTCGTGTAAACTCCAAATACCAGCGGTACACTCCAAGTGACTTTTAACTAAAGCTTCGTAGAGCGCCCTTAAAGCTGCGTTGTTATTGAACTCGTTTGCCTTAAAACATAAATTACGGTATGCCTTCTTACAGACATTCATAATGTATTTCCTGAAGTGTAACACATAACGTAACATCACGCCTTTTATCCCCGAAGGGGTAGGCAGAGGTGCACATTATACCATTGTACAATGTAACACCCACTTTTCACTATTTATGTCATGAGTCCCATGTAATAAGGGGTGAACCTATTGCCATATACCGGGCACATTTCTAGTTTCCGTGCTACTACTGAGGTTTTTACAAATACTTTGCCCGACCCGTGAATCGAACCCGAGACCCCTTGCCCGGCAGTCGCACTTGCGACCACTCCTGAAGTGTAACTGATACAAAATGAACTCCTAAATCTTCCACCTCCGTAACGCGTTGCGACAGTTCACCTTCCATGCAGTATCGGTGGTGACGGCGACTACTTGCACTAGTGAATTCATGAACAAGTGAATTTATATTCATTTATGTCTTAAATAATATTTTTAAACGCTAGTTGTTTGGTCCCACTTCGTTTTTGTCAGCATACAAAATTTATTTTCACCTATCAGTAATTTTATCCCAAAAAAATATTAATGGAAATAAAACTCAACATGCTCTCATGGTGGCGAACAGTGAACTAATTCTTAATTTTTTCCGGAAACAAATCAATCGTACAAAGGGAATGAAATCAATAAATCAATAGAGTGACATTAGCAAACAAAAATACAAACAGTCGTTCCTTATACTTAAGTTATCTACTAGTGCCAATAGATGGCGTTAGTTGTTTCATTTGGTGCACAAATTCTAACAAATATACGTATCTTTCCTTCCAGGTAAAAGTGCTATTCAGTCAAATCGTATCAGCGGTGGAATACGTCCACCTGGCTGGGCTGATCCACCGCGACCTGAAGCCCAGCAACATTCTGTTCGCGCCCGACGGCCGCGTCAAGGTCGGGGACTTCGGCCTCGTCACCGCCATGGCCGACACTTCGCAAGATGGCGACACCGCGCCCGTCATGGATGTACATCAACGACATACTTATAGAGTCGGTGAGTACTGACTGTGTGTTCTAAACCGACTTCAAAAAACAGAAGGTTCTCAGTTTGACCTGTATGTATGGTTGTGCGCGATTGGCTCGACCGATGCGGATGCAGTTTTCAGAAACGTGTTTGCTACACTTTGGAGAAGGTTTCAGTAAAACAATTAACCATTAACTAACTTCAAAAAAGAGGGTATTTATGTCCGTTTTTTAAACATCTATCTATACTAATATTATAAAGAGGAAAGATTTGTATTTTTGTATGTTTGTAATGAATAAACTCAAAAACTACTGGACCGATTGCAATAATTTTTTCACTATTAGAAAGCTGCATTATTCAGAAGTAACATAGGCTATATAATATCACGCTAGGTCCTATAGTTGTGGAGCAGTAACCAAAAATGTTTTAAAAACGGGGGAAAAGTATCGTTTCTGAGGCCTTCCGTGGCGTGCGCTGAGCATATAGTTAAAGTTATACAAAAATGCTCTATAGATGGATTGTTCATCTTAACATTATTTTTAAAAAAGTCCTCGAGGGCATATGTCTACCTTTTATAGTTTACCCATTACAATCGTTTTAATGAATGGTTCAATCCTTATAAAAGTTTGCTCTAGATAACTTTTGAATTGTTCAATCGGTTACCTTAAGACTATTAATTCATCCAAAAGATACCTATTAGGTAAGTACTTACCTACTATTTCAAAAATAATAAACTGAGAATAAATATAAATAAAACGTAAAACTATGTAAAAAATTTTAAGTCCCCCCGTGCGAAGCCGGGACGGGCCGCTAGTAGTTTATAAATAAATTGTGTGTTTATAAACTTTGTGATTACGATTCCTTCCTATGTCAGTAACCTTACTATATACATTTATCACAGCACATCAAATTTAGATTAAAAAACGTCAAACACAAAAACATGTTATAACATAAAGTACAAAATTGCAGTTACATTTAAATAGGTATTTGTCTATGAAACTGCCGTTACCGCAGTTATGTACACGTGTGTGGTAATTTGTCAATAATATGTTACAAACAACATATGTTATAGAAATAAAACAGTTCAAATACATTCTCAGTATAAGTTAATATAAAACAGTTTAAATACACATAAATAGATATTCGTACAGAAATAGATATGAATTATGTATAATCAATACGAATTTATTTTGAGTTTTAGTTTAGACATCATATCCTACTTCCGAAAGTGTGTGAGAATGCTATACATTCGGTGCTGCGGTGGCTGGGCAACCGGCTGCCGTGCAACATGTAGCGGGTTCGATTCCTGCACGGAGCAACTCTGTGTAATCCATTTATCAGTCGAATTGAGAACTTCCTCTTTTTTTTAAGTTGAAAAAGACACATTTACTGAACGGATTTCGATGAGACTTAGCACAAAAGTAATCTAGGATAAGACAACATTTAAATCCGTTGGCTTATAATAATTATGATATTTTTGTTATCTATAATTAAAAACCACATTAATCCGATAGGTACTCATCTCTACATGTCCCCGGAACAGCTAGAGAGTCGTCCGTACAGTTACAAAGTGGACATATACTCGTTGGGGCTCATACTGTTCGAGCTGCTCCATCCATTCTCCACGGAGTCGGAGCGCGTCGCCTGTCTGCTGCAACTGAGGCAGCATAAGTACCCTCCTGACTTCATTGCGGATTATCCTGAGGAGGTGAGTTGAACATTTGTGGTAAAGTTAAAACCTCTTATCTCTTTTTTAACGGTTGATAGAAAGTAAGATAATTTATTTGTCATTAGGCATGGCCCACCATTTACGCAATAGTAAAATAACAATGCAAACAACATTATAAAACAATAATAATAAAAAAAAGAACCTTAAAACCTAATAAAAGCAAAAAAGATAAAAAAACAAAATAAAATAGTCAAAATGTCATGGAACAAAAAGGCTTGCTAACTCAGTATGAGTTGGGCACTATTTCCATTCTTGCTCGTGTTCCTTACGATTTTTTTTGGTAATTTCTGTTCTTCTTAAAGACGGAAAGATAGAAAATTCTTTCAAAACAAGTGAGTGGGGGAGAGAAAGAGAGAGCGAATGTGAGAAAGGAAGAGAAATAGAAAACAACATAAATCAATTACGTGCGGATAGTTTTAAAAAAAATATCAAAAAAAATGTTTATTATTCTGGCATGTCGATAGATTATTTCACTTCATCAACATTCATCAAATATTTCATCATTCATTACTTACATTAATGCCGGGCAAGGGGTCTCGGGTTCGATTCCCGGGTCGGGCAAAGTATTACTGGGTTTTTAAAAAATTCTCAGTAGTAGCACGGATTCTGGAATTGTGCCCGGTATATGGCAATAGGCTCACCCCCTATTACATGGGACTCATAACATAAATAGTGAAAAAGTGGGTGTTACATTTACAGAGGCATAATGTGCACCTCTGCCTACCCCTTCGGGGATAAAAGGCGTGATGTTATGTTATGTACTTACATTAAATCCAAAAACATTGTTCAACAGACGGAGGTCCTAAAAATGATGCTAAGTGACGACCCATCTAAGAGGCCCACAGCGACCGGAGTTAGGGCACACGCGCCCTTGTACCAGCAAACTAACCCGGACTATCATTTCGTATTACCAGCCTTGGCCGCTGCGTAATATCCCATACCTAAGATAATGTTTTTTTTTGTTTTTTCAAAGTAGTAAGTTGAGATGCACATTGTTAATGTAATGTAAAGAGTTCTAAAGAGAAATCAGATGTTTTAATGTGTTAAAAATCTGACTAAAGACATCCATTTCCGAGAATTATCAGATTATTCTTTGTATTAAATGACTGCCTCGGTGGGCGAGTAGTCGCAAGTGCGACTGCCGGGCAAGGGGTCTCGGGTTCGATTCTCGGGTCGGGCAAAGTATTACTGGGTTTTTAAAAAATTCTCAGTAGTAGCACGGAGTCTGGAAATGTGCCCGGTATATGGCAATAGGCGCACCCCCTATTACATGGGACTCATAACATAAATTGTGAAAAGTGGGTGTTACTTCTGTCTGCCTACCCCTTCGGGGATAAAAGGCGTGATGTTATGCCACTCATTAGCAGTTAAATGTTATGGTTGAGTTTTGGGACATAACTAACAAAGACTGGATGTTGTATTAAATATGTGCATCTCCCTTTACCCATAATAAAAAAAATATGCTTAAGTAGTGCCTATGAAACTGTCGTTACTGCCTTATAATTGCCGTTACAAACGGCACTTTCATAGGTTAACGGCATTTTTTGGGAGTACAGATTATCACATTATAAACTAAGGAATAATTTTACCATGAGAGGTAAGCAATCTTGAGGCTTGGAGTTGTAGTTGTAAGAGCTATTTTACTTTTAAACAGTCCTGAACAGTTATGCTTTATTAACATAATTAAATACTTGACGATATTTAATGTCAGCCAGTTTTCGACCTTATAACCGTAATTATAAGGCTGAAAATACTTTGAAGTACCTACATTAAACTGTAGATAGAATAAAGTCTATTGCATCTGTTAGATAAAATGTGTCAATAAAATAGCTACTACCTTAATAGAAATACAGTTTAAATTACAATAACATATTTTTAACTTTATAATCATAATACCAGTGGAAGCCCATATGCCTAAATAGGGTCCCATTAATTTATTCTTGTTTAAGTTTAATTTATTTTCTCTTACAATAAGCACTTTTTATGTATTTCTAAAGCATTTACTGCTATAGTATGCAGCTACTGTTATTTTCCATAAAAACAAAAACATCTTACAAGTAGTATATGACAGAAATTGTACTATCGACAAAATGTATCATGATACGATTTGACAACAAATAGTTCAATATCATCGCACTATCATTTAACCGCTTGAATGCCTGTATATGAGACAATAGAAAATACACTGTCTCGCGTGGATCCACGCTTAAACACACGACGGGTTAAATCCAAGATGTTACAAAGAAAATGTTAGCTTAAAGTAGGTCATAATTAAATTTTGTCGATTGTACTATACGACATAGACCGTCATTATATAATAAACAAAACAAAAATTACTCTTTTCAATAGATTTTAAACATTCTTACAATATAAATAAAGTTTAAAATCAATTTATGTCACGTTTTGTAAACTTTGGAGCTAGTTTTTAAGGTTTATTTTGCACTGAAATTAATCATTTTCAACGAGATTTATTTATACTGTAATGTACCTATCTAACTGTAGTTTTTACCGTCCACCGGCAGTTTTAACTATTTGTCAATAATCGTGTAATAACTCCTAGTTATTGCCAGAATAAATTAACTAGAACAGTATTCTTATTGAAAATGATTGATTGTTATAAGCAATAAGTAGTTATAAACGAAATATAATAGGGTAGTTGCCAGGTAAGAAAATAAAATGTAATTAGTCCGTCGGTTAGATCAAAATCCCCAAGATTTATCGTACATAACTATCGTGAGACATACATACTAAATTAACTAAAAATCGCGGGTTACTCACATGAATATACTGAGAAAAGCTCGACTAGTTTCGAACCACAGAGGGGTTCTTTCTCATGAGCAGCGTGCGCGGTCGCGGCGATGTCGCGCAACCTACACAGTGGCGTAGAGCTTTTCTAAGTATATACACGTGAGTAACCCGCGATTTTTAGGTAATTTAACATACAAAAGTAGTCTCTAAACATCGTAAATAAGGTCTATAATGGAGTTAGGGGAGAGCTGTCACCAGTGACCGCTTGGGGATTGAACAGTAGTAAAATTTAGGAAAGTTATTCACAGTCAGTCAAATTATTTAATATACAGGTAATAAAATAATTTGTCTAACTGTACCATAAATAATTACATTGTATTACTTAATGAACGTAAGACTGGAGATGGGTATTGTCGGAATGTTATCATTATTATATTTTTAATAATTACTATTAAATATTAATAATTAAATACCTACTGTCTTAGACATATTTATGAATAGCGTCAAGAGATCATTTTGACTACGATGGTCAAGTAGTTTGTAAATGCAACTCCCGAGTGTATTTCGGGGTCGACTCCCACGTAGGGAAAAGTATATTATTGAGCTTTTCAATTATTGAAATTCTCAGTAATTATCTTGTGTAATAGTCTCTTTTGTTACATGAGACTCATTACGTAGCTGGCGATGTGGGTGTCACATACTCCTTCTGAGGAAATTATAATGTTAAGTTTATAAGGAAAGTTTACCAAAATGTGTGCATAGTAATTTACCTAAGAGGGAACTATGTTGATCTTTGAAGTTTAACTTTTATATAAAAACTAAAATACTAAAAAAATAAACAAATCTGCACCTTAGAAAGGCCTTAAGTGAATTTTAGTAATAATGCATTTTGATCTTTATAACATAACTGTGTAAAGTGCAATATTGCTAATAAGGATGACTTTTATGACTTTAAAGATAGGGTGTCAAAGCTACATTGCAATTTGACCCTTATATTTATAGTACTAAGGTGCAGATATAGTAGACTATGGAATTGACAATCACAGAAGTTAATAATTGTATTAGAATACTCTGTACCTCTAGTTAGAGATTGTTCTTATAACATGCTTTTTTTGAAGTCGGTTAAGTATAATGCTGATATTTGTAAGGAATATTGTTACTGTATTGCGTTTGTGATTCGATCACATTCCTGTTGTAATTGTAATATATTAGTTTTAAGGCTAAATAAATGAATGATCATGTGAATCTTTGTTTAATTTCATGGTCTAATCAAAGTGACAATTCATTTTTGCCAACTACAGGCAATAGTTGCCAAAGAGATGAATGAACATATTGAAACGACGACCACTGATTCATTAGGCTTAGTTACTTTCACGTTTAACATGATGGACACACTAAAGCTTTCAAGCTATGCTAGAAGCTCATATTACTAACTAGTTGAGTTCCTCATCAAACAGTTACGTAAGTAAGCCGGAAACATAATAATTAATGATCGACACACTCATGCCGTCCGACGCTCTGATTAGCCTGCACCAATGAACCAACTAATCACGGGCTAAAAAGGGTAACGTTTTGGTGTCCGTTACCCAGGTCAGATGTCGAAAATGATCATTTGAATCTTATAGATAATAAGTTTTGCGGCTTCTATAATTGTTGAGCACATATCTAAATTTGGTGCGCTTATAGTATTATAATTATTTCACAAAAACATTTCCTGCTGGGGTAACGTTACCCCAGCCAGAAGTTATTCGAGATTTTGCTGGGATAATGGTAAAGTAATGTTGTTTTTAAAAGGTTTTATTTATTCTTTTTCCATTCTCTGTGGTCGAGTTACACGGGCATATTTTCTACCGATTCCTGCATAGGTAACTTATTTTGTTTACTTACAAAAATAGAAGCAAATACAATCAATAGAAGCTTGATACGTGGGTTCCTGGGGTCTTGGAGGCGTTCAAAAGGTTATCGCAGGCCCAATACTCCGACAAAAGGCCGGCAACGCACTTATAACTGCTTGAATGCTGAGGGTGTCCATGGGCGGCGCCGATTGCTTACCATCAGACAATCCGTCTGCAGTGCTCGTTTATCTTTGATCCCTTATACCATAAAAAGTATAATTATAAATATTCGTTACTAAAAAGCAAATAAAACACCAAATCGGTTAAACCATATAAGTTATATTTAATAATAATAATTATAAATAAATCGTCACCATTAAAATAAACATTATATACAAATATTTCGATCACATACTTAATACTTGAGTTAATACTAGTAGTAAACAAGTGCTTTTAGCATTATACTGGCTCCACACGTTGGGCCTACTGTTGGTGGAAACGCGTTCATAATATCTGTTTTATTGGATTTTTAACTTTATTGTTTTGACATAAAGTCAAATCCAATGCTAGTACCTAGACTAGTTTTCAAACACTGAGACCAATCCCATTGGTGCCAACAGGCCAACGTTTAAAGTCTGTATTAAACAATTTTCAATCATAAAGTTATTAGATTAGGCATACAACAAAATTCTTAGTTTTTCTAGAGCTACTTATTTGCCTCTCGTTCACACATACTATGTTAGACAGAGAGACACATAGTGTGGCCATATTTCATTACATATTACAATATTGTGAAAAGGCATATTTACAAAGTGTATAAGAAAATAAAGAAAATGGTCCCGAACGAAGAATTTATGAAAGTACAAATCGGAACGCTGTTATTGTATACTTTATTCATATAGGAATAAAGAGAATATTTTATTGTTTTTCAAACATTTAGATTTCAAAAGGTCTTGTTACTGAGTCCAAGTTTAAAGTTGCTGTAGCAGGCATTAATACCCTTCTCTTAGCTAGGTACTAGTCTTTTCATTATTATTTATAAGACACTATATATCATGAGACCAACAGTAATTAGTTGTGAGTCAGTAGTTATGTACAATATAGGTACCTACTTAGGTACATAGGCTTAGAATATCCCTAAAAACTTCAAAACTTATTACCTTTAATCCCGGAAGGGTAGGCAGAGAAGCACATTACGGCACTTAATGCCACTGTACAATGTAACACCCACTATTCACTATTTATGTTATGAGTCCCATATAATAGGGGGTGAGCCTATTGCCATATAACGGGAACGATTCCAGACTCCGTGTCACTACTGAAGTTTTCTTTTTTAACCTAGTTATTCTTTGCCCGACCTTGGGGGCCGCACTAGCGACCACTTGGCCAACAAGGCAGTCCTACTAGTCTGAGTACTTATAAAAAATTTAATTTTAAAATGTAACATTATAATTTGTAATGGTATAATCCGTGCCCTAATATTTTAAATAGCGGACTAAATGAACTAAATACCCGTTAGTAGGTAATAATAATAATTACAAAACATAAGTTTTATATCTTTGCACTTGTAACCTCATTAGATGATATTTATATTTAGTATCTATTCGTGTCACTTGAGAGTTGAGACATGATCTTATTAAAATAAAACTAAAGACATAATAATATAGTATGCCGTTACGCCTTTTAGTCCTTGAAGGGGTAGGCAGACACAAATTACAATTGCACATAGATATACAATCGGCGTCGAAGGGATTACTATTTCCAGTATTTCTCAGCGAATTTTACAAAAACATATTTTATATTCTAACTATGAAAAACGCAATGAAAACAAGTATTATCGATATATCGATTTCGCCGTTTTAACTTGGAATACAATGATCAAGTAGGATAAATATTTGTGACAGATAATTTACTATACTTTTCTTGGATATTTCTTGTCAATTCTCATAATTGGTATATAATTCACAATTAAAATGTAATTTATTGTCTAGATTAAAAAAAATCGAGGGATTTAGTTATGACATACAAAAAGTAAATAGGGTCATATTAAATATTAACAATTATTTTATTTATTATCATCATAAACTCGTCTAGACAAATTTAAAAGGACACTTTTGCTAAACTCCATAAATTTTAATATTTGCTAGTCAAAATGCATTCAGGAATGCGCACTATTATTTAGAAAGCCATATATTTACAAATTATCGATTTTTTATAAATAGTCATGGATCAGTATAGAACAATATACCGTTGGTAATTGGGTAGTTTCCAGGGTATCAAAATTAAAAATCTAGTTAGTCCATCAGTTAGATAATAAAAAAATATTAGACAAGTATTTTTTTATTTTCTCGTATTTAGCAATACTTAGATAAAATGGCGCTAAGTTTAGGAGTGGGAAGTCGTCATAACGTGCTACAAAATGTGGCACGCTGTGACGTCACACGATATTTTAAATTAATATATCGTCAAAAGTATTTAATTTTGTGAAAATAGAAAAAATACGTGTCTAAAATTTTAAATTGATGTACCAAACTGACTAAAATAAAATTTAGAATTTAGGAAACTACCCTATTCGGGTTATTTGGACCCCCAAAGTGTCATTTTGACCCAAACTCTAAACCCATCATTATTATCTGCATTAATTTTAATACCCCGTGACATTTCATTGCTGAGTGGGTTTACTATTGAACATAAGTGTCAAATTAACCGCACAAGATGAAAATAATCCAAACTTATTCGGCATTTACACCTTTATATTTAATACACAAAGATTTAAATTCCCTTGCACTAATTTTCATACCTGTGTGCATTGGCTACAGTGCAAAATTGCAACTTACATGTACACAATAAAGTTTACTATCGAATGCAAATTATTACATAATTTTTTGATCTCTACTGATCCTTAACCTACAAATCTAGACATAGTTGGTCATTTCCATTAATTGTTTAAATATATCAGTTATACAATTATCGAATATCACATTTGTAAACGAGATAATTCTATAATACAAGTTTTATCAAAGATATTTAAAAAAATTGGGTGAAAGACTGGATTCAAAATGGTTTTTTATAGGTATGTTCCAAGTACTTTAGACTTTATGTTGGAACTTAGGCCTTTTAGCTGTCTAACCAACCTATCACAGGATAAAAAATATATGCGTCTAAACACTTAAAGGACCAAATAGAAAAGTCAACGACATCATCATATTAAAACCTGTCATAGTTTTATTTAAGGACTGTTCTGTTTTGTTTTTTTTTTATAATTATTTGAAATGTATAACGCCTTGGTTTTATGACTGTAATATTATACTATTTAATTGAAATAAATATCGAACACAGGACATCAACTTGGGAAGTTTATTCTAAATGTCAATTTTGTCAACAATATAATGTAACCCAGTTCTTCCACATAAAATAATATCAAGAAGAAACAGAAGTATTACAATAATAATATATTATTATCACAATTTAAACTTAGGGGTCTTTCGTCAAAAACTAAAAGAAAGCACACGATTTCACTTAAATTACGTCAACTAAATAGTGCAATTTAAACCTAAATATAATAACAAAAATAATTTATATATTCAACTAAAAATAAAGATCTTTTATACATTTCAATAGCGAAAAAGAAAAAACTAAATCGATAAATTTAACAATAAGTCTAAATTCAACGATCTAAGTTCAATTTTCTTGTCAACTTTTATTAAAGCTATGGCTAGTATTATTGTTCTGTAAAAAACTTGGTGTCTTACCTTCTTTAACGACTCTTAAAGCTTGCAACACTCTTGCAGTATCCAATTCTTTTTCAGACGCCTTTTCGTTGTCCAAGCAGATCTCAGTCATACGAGCGTTGAACTGTTCCAGAACTTTCACCCTATAGTCAATAGATGACGCTACTGGGTTAGCGGTTAACCACAGATACTCTAAACACGGTAACTTACATATATGCTGGACTTCTTCAACGTCAATTATGATATTGCAGCTTAAATCGAGGCTTTCTAATGAATAGAGGCGCGAGAATCCTTGCAGGCTTTCGACCCTATTTTGAGACAGGTCTATTCTTACTATATTGCCTATTTTTGCGTGCCAATTCTCGCAGATGGAGAAACTATTCATGGATAGATTAAGGACTCTCAAGTCGTGAAGGCAGGATATATCACATAGTTCTTTTAGTTTGTTTGAACTGAGACTTAGGTGTTGCAGCCTAGGGACTAATTTGATGGCCCAGTCCACGCTGTGGATGTTGTTGCTCGCGAAGTTTATTATGGATAATTTCTTCCATTTCTGTGAACAAAAGATTAGTAATTCAGTTCATATTTTTGTTATATATTAAGTACTGCTGAGTACTATATTTTTAAGCTAACCATACGCTTTAAGGTAAATAATCTTATGTGAGAATACGGAAAAGGAATCAAACTAAAAATAAATAATTGTAAGTCGTATGTAAACGCCATGCGCCTGTCAGAATTTTTATCAGTACAATTCTAAACATGACCGACATAGTTGTAAGTTAGGCATGTGATGGTCATACGACAACGGCAACTCAACACATACCAGTCAATCTTCACTAGATTTACAACTTCCAACATTTTACCATAAGGTCGAAAATACATTGAGTACCTACCCAAAACAGCTTAGCTTAAGGTATACCAGTTTATCTGCCTCCTGAGATACAGGCAACGCCTAGTTCAGGAGACAGAGCTTGATGTATTTAGATGTTGGTATATGAATAAAGAATTATTATTATTATATCTTCGCTGCATTTTTAGCATAAATAATTTTACAATAAGGTCGAAAATAGATTTAATTAGAGAGACAAGTATAGTTTGATATGCTAGCATATATACGACCTATTTAGTGCAGATAATTACAACAATCGTGCAGAGATAAACCTATTGACTCACTGACCACACGTGTTTCGAGGTCGCACTACTATTCAATATGATAATATAGTGTGTAAATTGTATAATTTGATACATATTCATGTTATGTATGTATGTAGATATTTTGACTAAGCTCACCCCCTATTACATGGGACTCAAAACATAAATAGTGAAAATTGGTTGTTACATTGTACAGTGGCATTTAGTGCTGTAACCTACCCCTTCGGGAATAAAAGGCGTGATGTTATGTTAGGTTGAATTTAGTGATTCTGTGATTTATTGATTTAGTGAGGCAGAGTTGGGTTCTATTCATCATTAATTTTATTCATCAACAGTCTATGAATGCTCACTGCTGAGCAAAGCCTCTTCTCACAGGGAGAAGGTTTGAGCATTAATCACCATACTTGCTCAATGCGGGTTGGCGATTACAAACTTATAATTAAAAATTTTAAGCCCAGGTTTCCTCACGATATTTTCCTTCACCGTTTGTCAGTGGTGTCTAGATAATCTTAGAAAGTCCATATAACTCGGAAAAGTTACACTGGTACTTGCCGTTGGTAAGTCAGTACCCTCATGCATGAGAAGCGGGCGGCTTAAACCTCTGGGCCACCACGACACTCATTAATTATATTATTCTTTTATAATGTTATAGTTTTGTGTTATAATGTGCTTCATCAACATTTTTCACAATATAAACTTTTTAAAGTGTGAAAGGAAGATACTTATTTAAAATTATATAATTTCCTGCATAAATTCAGAAGTTATGCGCATAACAATTTCGTCGATACAATTTTATTATTGATATACAAACAGGTTTCATATTATTATATCACTACATAGTATAAAACAAAGTCGCTATCTGCCGTCTGTCTGCCCCTATGTATGCTTAGATCTTTAAAACTACGCAACAGATTTTGATGCGGTTTTTTTAATAGATAGTGATTCTTAACGATTATATGTATAATACATGAATATTGAACCCGTGCGAGGCGGGGCGGGTCGCTAGTAATCTATAAGATTATGCTATCTTCTACAGACAGGAGTGTAATGTAATGATGCATTATATATATTTTCCTTATATAACACAAACATATGATTGTGGAGATAAATAAATAAATATAATAAAACAGTGACGTCACGCTGTCTTATTCATTTATAACCCAACAGTTACATCATAGATATCGTCGATTAAATGGAAAATTGGCATTTTTCAATTTTATTGGAAATTAAGATTATTACATAAAAAGAGTCTACTCTAACAAGATTATTTTATATGTAAAATACGACACTTTAAATAGTTCACGCCACGTTCACTAGATGTCGCAAGCGTCATTCCGATTTAAACGAATTTTAATGAAATTAATCACTTCAAACATTCAAAATTTGTCCTTTCTGAATTACGTCATTTTCCTATTTAACCGACGATATGTTATTATGTTACACCTACAATTTTACAACTGTCTAATGCTTTGGTTCCCAAAGTTGTCTGGCCTATGACCTACCTAAATCAAGTTCCCTAAACTTAGGACCAAATCGTTACCAATATGACAAATAAAGCACAAATCAATTGATTTGTGCTTCATCTATTATCTTATCTTATACTATTATATAAAGCGAAAGCAGAAAACCGACGTGAAGCAACGCTTGCGTTATGTTTCGTCGTGTGAGTGAGGTTACCGGAGGCCCAATTACCCTCCCCTTCCCCAATCTCCCCAATTCCTGAATCCCCAACGATCCTCAAACTCCTAATTCCTCAAAAGGCCGGTAACGTACTTGTAACGCTTCTGGTGTTCCAGGTGTCAATGAGCGACGCCGATTGCGTACCATAAGGTGACCCATCTGGTCGTTTACCGGCTTATGCCATAAAAAAAGTTTGTTTTTATGTTTGTTTGTTTGAACCCGCTAATCTCCGTAACTACAAGTCTGATTTGAATAATTCTTTTTGTGTTGGATAGCGCATATATCGAGGATGGCTATAGGCTAAAACATCACCTTACGACCAATAGGAGCTAAGCAGAGCGTGTGAAACCGCGCGGAAGTAGCTAGTAGATACATAAAGGGTGCAAGTATGTCTATGAGGTAACAATGAAGTCAGATTACGATTTTTGCTGCGCCATGCAAATTCAAACTGCTGGTTAGCAATTATTATTATTATCAAATGACATTGAAAGGACAAGGTTGTTCGAATCTAATCTAATCGTCGTAAACATTCGTCCAAACTATTAAAATTTTCAAAGAAAACGGGGCAAACCGATTCACGTCAAGATGTCAATAAGTAGTGACTTATTATTATTAGTGTAGTGAGTGCACTACATACTTATAGATATTTATTATATAATAAAAAACATATATAATAAGAACATTATATATCTATATAATATACAAAAATAAAACCCTGGTTGTCACGTCACAACTTGAGAACGGCTAGACCTTTTTTAATATTTCTGTGGGCTTGATCGATTTGGCTGATTTTTTTTTTGTTGTGTTTGGTATTATCAGGAGAAGGTTCTTATCATAGAAACAGATCCTATCCTAATCCTAATCCTACGGGAACGGAAGAAAACGGGATTGCGCGTACGAAGTGGCGGTGCAGGAGCTAGTAATCGGTAAAATGCTTTATACCTCTTCGGTTCACGGGGAAAAACGGTTCGAGCGCATATTAAGTGAAGCAAATAAAAAGAAAATAGTATTTTTTTACTACAAATATGTACCGAATAAAGCATAACATATCGTATATTATATCCTTATACCAATATGCTGATAACATCAACCTTCAAATGGAGATCAAATTTATAATTATTTAGCCTACAATCGAAAATAGACTCTATACAAATAGAAATAAGGTATACTTACAACAGTGTCCGCTATGCTGGAGGGGTCTTTATGGAGGATATCAACGAGCAGGAACTCGTTCAGGGAGACGACACTGGCTGTTGACACCGATAAATTAACTAGAGTGTCTCGGAGGCCACCTGAAAGGTAAAATAATTATAATAAGTGTGAGAGAGCCATGCTTCGGCACGAATGGGCCGGCTCGACCGGAGTGATACCACGGCCTCACAGAAAATCGACGTGAAGCAACGTTTGCGTTGCGTTTCGTCGTGTGAGTGAGGTTACCGGAGTCCCAATTACCCTCCCCTTCCCCAATCTCCCCAATTCTTGAATCCTCAAACTCCTAATGCCCAAAAGGCCGGTAACGCACCTGTAACGCCTCTGGTGTTAATGGGCGACGCCGATTGCTTACCATCAGGTGATCCGTCTGCTCGTTTACCGGCTTATGCCATAAAAAAAGGAAAAACATTTTATTCCATATTCAAAAGGTCAATAATCAAGAACAATCATTTTCTACGAATTTTGTATGATATTACAATCTGACGTCATGGCGCTCATATTGTATCTGTGCGTCATTTTGCATATACATATTTATTATCACTAAAATATATAATTTGAAATACGTAATGTTTTAAAATCAATCAAGGAAGTGTGATTATTTTAACATCTGTCTGATATTGGTATCCCCATACAATTACATTTTAGAGAGTATTTAATTTAGAAATAGTGTTTTTTGCTAAATTTTATTGTAATGTCCGTCTGGTACATTAATTTAAAACCTTGGACACGTATTTTTTCTTTTCTCACAAAATTAAATACTTTCGACAGCATGCCACATTTTGTAGCACATTATGACGTAGCGACCTCCCTCCGACTCCTAAACCTATTTAGCGCTATTTTACCTAAGTATTGCAACTTAAATCGTTGATTTAACGACGATTATTATCACTAAAATATATAATTTCAATTAACGAGTTAAATTCGACGATTTAACTCGTTGAGTACCGTCATTAGAGACACAATTATAGAACAATAGGTCGCGGTCACCGGTGTCCTCGCGGTGTTTGACAGTTTAAACTGTCAAACACCGAATGACGGTACTCAACGATTTAATACAAGAAAATAAAAATCGTGTTGGAGACTCGGTTGCCAAAAGAAGAAAATAAAAAACTACCCAATTATAGGAGAAGGAATTGAATTAAGTCCACCTAATAGTGCTGTTATAAGTAATTGAAGCTTAAAGTCAAAGATACACTAAGGGATAATGTCCTGCGACACGTGTCACCAGCGATGTCGGGTGAAGTGGGGCGACGTTGCCGTACTTTGGTAAACATCAATGTAACTGTGGACATAAGTTGCGCGTTGTGACTGTATACGTCAGGCGACAACGGCGGGCATCGTCACCAATACATGTCTTGGGACATTTATTTGTCCCCTAGTATATCCTTGGCTTAAGTTTTGGGGAAAAATTGTTGTATCTGTGCTGCTTTATCTATACAAAATAAAATATTATAATTTGATAGAAAGAGACAAAGCATACTGATAATATAATATTAATAGTTACTTAGAATTTATTTCGAAAATTTAAATTTTACCATCTAATGTTGTATAGTCTAGACCAAGGCCGTTAAAAAAGGCAGACACAGTCTTTCGAAACAACAACTGTGGAACCAGGCTACTATAGACTTACACGAAGAATACACACACATTGACACAAAGGACATTTGTCGCGTGACATGGCCCGTCATTACACTTCATACATTACGGTGTTGCAAGTACATGCACACATAAATACACCACTCACATTTTGGTGCTTCAATCATTTCTAAAGGACATTACGTTAGTTTTTTTTTCAACATACTAGGTCTAGACAAGGACTTATATTTTATGAATATGTATCTCAAACTGGTTTTCTAGTGTCTAGAGTTAGATAGATAATGCAACAATGAGGTAATGCAATAGACAGACTTTGTTCAATGATAACAACTTAATACAATAATAGGTCACTGATTATTACATAGTATTCAAGTGCTGTAGTAATAGTGTTTTTTTCATCATCAACAGCCTTTACGTGCCTACTGCTGAGCAAAGCCTCTTCTCACATGGAGAACGTTTGAGCATTAATCAGCACGCTTGCTCAATGCGTACAAACTTATAATTGGAAATTTTAAGCCCAGGTTTCCTCACAATATTTTCCTTCATAGTTTGTCAGTGGTGTTTAAATCTTAGAAAGTACATATAACTCTGAAAAAGTCACATTGGTACTTGCCGTTGGTAGGTTTCAAACCCGCATCCTCATGCATGAGAAGAGGGCGTTTTAAATCTCCAGGCCACCATGACGTTTTTTTTTACTATTAATTATTCTCATTGTAATAAATTATGAAACTTACTTTCAAAAAGCAGTATTGTAATAGTACCATATTCCTAAAAAAAATATACACATAAACAGAGACTGACCACATTGACAATCTATTAAACTGTCAAACACCAAGCGGTCACCGGTGACCGCAACCTATTGTTCTATAATTGTGTCGATAATGATGGTATTCAACGAGTTAAAGAAGGGCCAAATTAAAAGTAACCGTAACCAATGAGTCTGCATGAAAAGATTGATAACTGTTGATGAAGCGAAGGAGGTATGTAGGAATCGTAGCAATTGGCGTTCCATAGTCTCTGCCTACCCCCATGGGAGACAGGCGTGAAGTTATGTATGTATGATGAAAAAAAAACATGTTATCCTATATTTTTTTGGATTCAGTATTTTCATTGTAAAAACCCTTTTATTATTATTTTATTTTAATGAATAGCCATATAAATTTTAGGCCTGACTCTAAAGAAGAAGTGGAGTATACAGCAAAAATAAAAAACTTATGATAAACACTTACCAACACTCTGTATACAAGCCATAGGCACTCCCAGAATCTTCAAATCCAACAGAGACTTGAATGGAATTAAGTCAAAATGTAGGTCATTTGGCACAATATTGCTTGTACCCAATTTCTCATAACTGCCCTCTATATTTAAAGACCTTAGTTGTGAGCAGAAATCCAAAATGTGACTGAAATCATACATTTGATCTTGTTTCTCAGTCATAGGACAGGCTATTTTTAACCGCTCACTTATAGCGTGCAACTGAAAAAAGAGTTCGGATTATAGAAGCCATAAAGTATTGAAAGTGTGTCAAAGATTATGTTGAATTAGAATTGTTTTGAATTCGGAATTAGTCATAGTGTTCTGAATTTATTTTGTAATTTATTACACAAAAAAAAAATTATAAAGAAGGTCAAAGCTGATAATTATGTCTATAAACATTGTAATTATGTATTTATTAATATGCTGCTTACCTCTAAAGGAGTAAAATTATGTGATTTCTCATACTCCAACATTTTATCACCTTCTAAAAACAATGTCTTTGCTAAATCTTGTAGCAAAAAGAATATATCATACAAATGGAAGTCTAGGAAGTGAGCGAACTCGGACGGCATCGTCAGTTTTAAATAATTAAAAACATTCTTCAAGTATTCGCTTAGAGCTTCGCGTCTTTGCTCCACAAATTTTGGTGTTTTGTTACGAATAACTTTCTTCGGCGGGAGCAACTCTTTAGCGACCCCATGGTCCGAGACTAACTTCTCATGCAGCTCTACAAAGTCATTATACCGATGCAACACGGTCCAACGCACTGAACCCACTTTAACTGTTATTTTGTAATATGTAACATTGTCTTTTGTTGAAGTTTCTTCCACGGTCACTGTGCTATCCTCTCGGTGATTCACAAATGAAGACATTTTGTATATAACGCACGCAATCACTAACACTGACGGTTCAGTCGTTAATCAGTGTATTTTATTTTTAATTAAATTTCTATACGCATTTCGCGTTTACTACGGTGTGTGTGGAAAATCGCGTTTTGCTTCACCAATCACGAAATGATGAAATTATGAATGGATGACAATGACATTTCATTGACATAATTCTGACATTGGAAAAGATACGTTCGAAATCGAAAGAAAATTCCAAATATGTTATTTATTACGGTTAGAATAAAATAATATCTTGCAGAGATTGCATTTTGTCTGTCACGATTTTGTACTTTTAGTATTTCAAATAATAATTTTGCGCTGCTGATGAAAAGATACTTTGCAATCGATTAAAAATTGTGCTCCTCTATTACGTCACATGCTCTAAACGTCAAACGCTTTCGATTTGACATTGACGGGATAACATATTTCTCATCTGTATTTATCGGATTACTGTGTTGTGATTTTTAATAAATTTTATAGAGCCAACTATAATGCTTTGATGCTTAATTTACAATTTAGAATCTCTGCTTTGAGTCTTATTTAAGGCTTTTGTTATGTGTGTATAAATGAAGAGTTAAACACGTGAAAATGTTGAGCCGTTTTTCGGACGTGCTGCAAACTGCGGCGGACGTTGTGAGTGCAAAACAATTAATATTATCGGTGAATGTGCGTGTAGTGAACTGTAGTGAACAAATTAATGAGGTTTCATTGTTTCAGCTGGCACCTCCGGCTACACGGTTGGAGGATTTCGAGTACCATTGGAAGATGATACTGAATTTTTACCAGAATTATGACGAGAACAACAAACTGCATGTTGAGGAGACCAGGATACCGCATCACCTGCATCAAATGTTACAGGTATGTCTTTAAATGTGAATAATTAATTGAATTATTAATAAATCTACATTCTTACTTACACAGATCTTTTTGAATTTATGATATTGTGTGAAATATATTTGCTGTGCATGCGATTAATATAATTCCATTTTCCAATAAGATAAAATATATCTGTTACATGTCCAATAAATATACATTTGGTCAACTTTTTTGTAAAGTTTACTTATGATTTGATAATTGACACCAATTAAAAAAATAAACACTATGTGATTGCCAGGTCACATTTGGTTTACTCTTGTAATTTATTACTATATAAACAAAAAATTTAATCATTTTTTCTGTATCAAAACTGATAATTTAAACTCAACTTTGTGTCTGATAACTTTAAATTAGTAATTCCCTTACATAATCAATTACATGTTTGCTTAGTTTGATAAAAATCTGATATCTATGTTATTTCATTTTAAACCATGGATTGAGTGCATTCATTCTAAAAATAAAATGTTTAAATGGATGAAATGAAAGTCCACATGTTTAACATATTGTATATTTATTTATGAACTCACACATACAATCACATACAATACTGCGAAAGAATAAACAGTGGTATGTAAACAGCTGTTTATTATTTAGGATGCAATTTCTCTTTTGTTTTCTTAGCTATTTCTATATTCAACTGCTATATGCCCACAACATCGTCCACATGGAATAGTGACTTTAGATAAAATTCAAAATTCATTTATTCACATATCGATATCGACTGTAGATTACGCCTCAAATATTCTTTTAAAAATATATTCAATGGACAGTTTCGAAATTCTTACGATTTTATTTTATTATAATAATAATTATGTAATGTATTTTTTAATTTTTTATTGCATAAGCCGGTAAACGATCAGACGGATCACCTGATGGTAAGCAATCGGCGCCGCTCATGGACACCCGAAACACCAAGGCGTTACAGGTGTGTTACCAGCCTTTTGGGAATTGGGAATTTGAGGATTGTGGAGGATTCGGGGATTCGGGAGATTAGGGAGATTAGGGAGGGAGGTAATTAGGCCTCTGGTAACCTCACTCACACAACAAAACACAACGCAAGCGTTGTTTCACGTCGGTTTTCTGTGAGGCCGTGGTATCACTCCGGTCGAGCCGGCCCATTCGTGCCGAAGCATGGCTCTCCCACACTTTGGGTTCTTATTATATTTAGTCGACCAATTCTTGTATCATACTTAGATTTAAACTGTCAAACACCAAGCGGTCACCGGTGACCGCAACCTATTGTTCTATAATTGTGTCTACAAAACCGGTACTCGACTGATAAAAGTTATAAAGATCTACTTCCTATGTAATGTAACTTTTAATTACTTATCTACTGATAACAGATAATAACGTTGTTACAGTGAAAATCAATTTGTCAGTTAAAGAATACTTTAAACCCAACGCTAAGTGGACCAAATATATTGATCCCACTGTGTAAATATTGCCACACCACAATTTCTTTTAGTAAAGGTACAAATAAATGGGGTTATACACTGTACAGATAAGCAATCCTTGTGTGAACCGCTAAGGAATTGAATTACTTGCCAGAATCTGTGTTGCCCAATAGGCCGGTACGCCACACCCACAACGCATTTGTAACGCCTCTGATGTTCTAGGTGTCTATGGGCGACAACGATTGCTTACCATCAGTTGATCTGTCTGCTCGTTTACCTGACATAAGCCATGTCATAAAAAAATGCAACTTGGGTGTCTTTAAGTTTTGAGTGAACAGGTTGCTCATATATATATATATATAAAAATCCTACTATCTTACTATATTATAAATGCGAAAGTTTGTTTGTATGTTTACTTGTTTGTTACTCCTGCACATCTAAAATGGCTGAAGGGATGGCTGAGCAAAGCCCCTTCTCCCACGGAAAAGGTTTGAGCATTAATAACACTTGCTCAATGTGGGTTAGTGATTACAAACTTCTAAATAGAAATTATAAGTCCAGGTTTGCTCACTATGTTTTACTTCACCGTGTGTCAGTGGTGTCTAAATAATCTTAGAAACTCGGAAAACACTCACATTGGTACTTGCCGTTGGTAGGTTTCGAACCTGCGTCCTCATGCATGAGAAGCAAGCCACCACGACATTAGGGCTACATTATGCCGCGGAGAACCTAACGGGTTACCTGGAATCCGGCTCGAAGTGCAGGAGTAGGAACGGGGTGGTTTTTAGTCAGTCAGAGTCCCTTTAAAAAAAAAAGGATACATTAGGTATGGTCTAGAATAACACACAGGCTACTGTTATCTCTCTCCGGAAACTCGGGCGGAGCTGCTGGCAGAAGCTAACTAGTCAGATATGGCTTATAAGGCCTTGTATACAATATGCTACAACTCAGAAGTTGTTTATAGAATATTAATTTGCTCTATAAATGTATCCATGTCCTTAAAATGTATGTATGTAATTGTATGTAGTATGTATGTATTGTATTTATGTACATATTGATTAGCTACAGGACATTCTCTGATTAAATTAGTTGTTGCGGAACTGTTTGATAAAAGTTTATTTTAAATTGGTTACATAACAGTATTTTGTATTTTAATTTTTTATTAAAACTTTTAATGTATTTTTAAATTTATCACACATACATTAAGAATGTAAAATAAAACTAAACATAACATAACATCACGCCTTTTTATCCCCGAAGGGGTAGGCAGAGGTGCACATTTCGGCACTTAATGCCATTGTACAATGTAACACCCACTTTTCACTATTTATGTTGTAAGTCCCATGTAATAGGGGGTGAGCCTATTGCCATACACCGGGCACATTTCCAGACTCCGTGCTACTACTGAGATTTTTAAAAAACCCAGTAATACTTTGTCCGACCCAGGAATCGAACCCGAGACCCCTTGCCCTCGACACTCGGCCAACGAGGCAGTCTAATATAATCTAGTAAAACTAAAGTAATCCATATATATAGATATAGACTAAATAAATAACTAGAGCTTAGATAAATAAAAATTGAAGTATGAATTTACAACTAAAATTAACACAGGAAATAGGATAGGAAAAGAGAAAAACTAAATTAATACATCAAAAAAATTTAATTTAACATAACTTTAGACCTTTTATTCCCGATGGGGTAGGCAAATGGACACATTACTAGATATTAGAAATACCCACATTTCACTATTTTATGTTATGAGTCCTATGTAATAGAGGGTGAGCCTATTGCCATATACCGAGCACGGTTCCAGACTCCGAGTTACTACTGAATTTTTTTGAAAAAACCCAGTAATACTTTGCCCGACCCGGGAATCGAACCCGAGATCCCTTGCCCGACCCGGGAATCGAACCCGAGACCCCTTGCCCGGCAGTCGCACTCGGCCAACGAGGCAGAGTATAAATTTAGTTTAAAATCATAAATCACAATTTTATGTGTACCTTATCGAAATTGGGTTTTGGGATGGAAAACTTAACTTTTGTACATATCTCTACGCCCACAGAATGGATTTATTATTTTATTTATACGCTGTCCCTATACATAACAGATTAATCATAAGAGTTAATGAACAAGCTTATAATTATCATTATTATCTTATTTCAACTTGGTACTGTTCTCTGTGATAATAGGTACCTGTTGAAATATCTGATGTAAATATACAAATATACTATCTATAATAATATTTATTTGCATAGTTTTGCATACATTTGTATTGATATCTAGGAAAATAATGTATGTAGGTAAGATATATCTTAGACAGAAGCATAGATGCTTAGTCTATTAATATCTTATGCTTACTTAATGCGAAAATGTGTTTGATTGTCTTTTTTTCATGTCTCACCTGAGCGACTTTATGATTCAATTATTGTGTCTGGTATATGATAGTTATGAAGTAGAAGACTGATAGAATGATAAAGTTATTTTCCTCTGACCACGCTGTCGAGGCTGCGCATAAATATGTCTAATAGGCAGACCTTATGGTCTGCCCTATCGGGCCCCGAGTGCCCATAAGGCCCGTGCCGAGGGCCGTTGTCCTCAGGGGACCCCGAAGGACCGACAATTTCTACGACGAGCTACACGTTCCGCGGCAACCGGCTGCCACGAAACTTGTAGCGGGCTCGATTCCCGCACGAAGCAAATTTTTATGTGCTCCACAAATTGTTGTATCAGGTCTGGGTGTCATGTGTATAGGGAACTAGTATGTTACGCCTTGTAAGGGAAGTCTAAGACGGCCCTGCCAGTAGGTACATACATACATAGATAGTCTAATAACAATAACAAAACAAATAATGA